CCTAATAAAAATCCGGCTGATGTTACACTTCCTGAACTTCTCAGGGGTCTTCACTCCATGGAAGCAGAGCTTCCTACCGATCCATCTCAACGCTCTTTCGCAGATCTCAATCGTTTGTCTAATGGATCATATGATGACGAATCACTTGTCTCAATTTTCTCATCTTCAGTAGAAGATCTCTCTGGTGCTTTTGGGGCCACAAATGTTCCGCCTATCATGCGCTCCATCGAAATCCTCTCTATTCTCCAAAGTCGTTCTTGGAATATGTGCACCCTTAATGAATTCCGGTCATTCGTCGGATTGTCGCGGCACACATCGTTTGCAGATATCAACCCCGATCCTGTTATTGCAAAACGACTCAAAGAATTCTACGGAAGTCCTGATGATGTGGAATTCTATCCGGGAGTTGTGGTTGAAAAGATTAAACCACCGGTGGTGCCAGGTAGTGGATTATGCACTGGATATAGTATCAGTTATAGTATTTTGAGCGATGCGGTAGGATTGGTTAGGGGAGATAGGTTTTATACTACTGATTATACGCCGGAGAGTCTGACTAATTGGGGGTTAGTTGCATTGTTCTTTTCTCCCCCCCTCTCTCTTCCGTTTGCATTCTCTTAAAATTTCGAGAAGATCAAAAGAGTCACTAATATGATAAAATAGATACAATGAAGTCCAATTCGACACCAATATCGACGACGGTGCTGTGCTTTACAAATTGGTTCTTCGAGCCTTCCCAAACCACTTCCAGGGGAACTCTATATACGCACATTTCCCATTTGTCACACCGGAGACTAATCGTGAAATTCAAAAGGACTTGGGAAGAGAAAATCTGTATAGTTGGGATAAACCTAAGAAGAAGGCAGATCTACCAAAAGTGGAGGGTTGGGAAGAGTGCAGGAAGATTCTAGATGATAAGGCTAATTGGAAGGTTAGTTTTCCTTTTCAATCTCAATCTTTGGGATTTCAAACCTTCGGGAATGACAAAAAGGATAAATACTAAGTATGGATAACAGGTAACATGGGGTGCACCAATTGCTGTCCTAACTTCACAATCGCCTTCCGACTCCACAAAGACTACGGGGCCGCCAAAAATCCCCCCGTTCTGTCTTGCAGGAGACGAATCTATAAATACCACCTCGCGCTCTCTTATAATATCTTCTTTCCACGATCTTCCAACCGGTCATGGAAATAAGAATGATAAAGAGCATCCTGATTGGCAATCCTCAATTGCACAATTTTACACAGACAACACGGCCGATTTATTTGATAAACACAAAGTTCTCGTTCCAACCCCAAGTGCGTACAGCAATACCAATGGAAACGGAAGTGCTGCAAGAAATGGAGCTGTAGCGCCCAGGAGGACATACAGAGTGGATGTCGTGTCCGACATATGCAATCGTGTCTTCACTCGTTTTGCAGCTGGCGTCTTTGACTTTCCCCTTAAACTCGGAATGGGCAATACTGTCGACGTTAACGTAACTACGGATGTTGAAGATGGATATACAGAAGAGGAATTGTACACGGCACTTTCCACTGGTTTCATATGCATTTTCAATAATTTCGATGTTACGAAATCTTTCGTGGTGAATCAGGAAGCAAGAGCTGTGGCTAAGAGGCTGGGTGATATTTTGATGGAACATACAAATGGAGGTGGGATTGGAGGGGTAGTGGAAGGATTGAAGGATAGATTGCATAGTCTGGTTCATGATGATGAGACGGAGAGACTTGCTGAGGAGAAAGTAGAGAAAGAGAAGGCAAGATTGGCATTGAAGGGGTATGGGAAGTCAATGCTACAGAGATTTGTGGATAAGGGAAAGAAGGCTGGATGGGGAGTTGAGAGGGTAGTTTGGGAACAAATGTTCGTGTTCCTTTTTGTTTCTTTTATTTTCCCTTCCCTTTCATGCCGTTTCACCTACCCATTCCTATATTTTGAATCATCACGCTAACTCATGTACACAGTCTTCCAACATCGGCAGCTATGACGGCAAATCAGTCACAGCTTCTCTCCCAAGTTCTGGACTATTATCTCAGTGATGCCGGATCTTCACATCTGCCAAAACTCTACACTATCGCTCATGAAACTAGCAATGAGTCTGATGATTTATTGTTGCACTAGTATGTTCCCTCTCACATCTTTTTGTCTTTTCATCCCCCCCTAGAGCTAGATAACCCCAATTTCTCCCAACAAAGAAAAAGAATATATAAACTAACACCATCCAAAGTTTCCTCGAAGCAGCCCGACTCCGCGGCACCGTCGCTCTTTTCCGCCTCTACTCACCCTCCCAAACCCCCTCTCAAACCACCACCACTTCCCACGCACCAGGAACCGTCGTACTTCTCAACCTTCCCCTCGCCCACCACGACCCCGTCGCCTTCCCCAACCCCGAAACGGTCGTTCTCGACCGAAATCTCGACTCCTACCTCATGTTCGGCCACGGGCCGCACGAATGTCTTGGTCGCGACATCGCTTTAGCGGGGATGGTGCGCGTGTTTAGAATTATTGTCGGGTTGAAGAATTTGAGATTGGATGCCGGGTCGAGTGGGTATAGTAGGAAGAGTACGGGGGGTGAGAGCAGGGGAATGAAGACTGTGGAGACGGAGTTTGGCATGGCGTATTTGGATGATGAGTTGGCGACTTTGGGACCATTTCCGAAGGGATTGAGGGTTTGCTGGGATGAGTGAGTGAGAGAGAGGGAGGAGGGTTTAGTGTCTGATTGGTTGGTGGGGGGTCATTTGTCTATTTCTTTATTTATGTATCTACTGAGAAAGGAAGGGAATCGGAATTAGGGTTTATAGTATCTACGTATCATCTAACAACATGCCGTCTTTAACTTCACCGGCGAGTTGTCAGAAAAACAATGGATTTTTCATCACCATATCTCTTCTCCTCCCCAGAGTATCCGCATCACTAAATTCTGTTTTGGATACTTGACTCGTGCTGATGATTCACTGTACATACAGTCCTCCGAGTCTCCTTACTCGTGCATTCTGCTTTTTATACGTGTGAAGATGCATCTACTTGCTTACCTAGCTGTTTATAAATTATAGGTAGGTAGACATCGTCGATATCTCATGGAATTTTCCAATGAGATAGAAGTAGAGAGAGAAATCAGTGATTTTACATAAAAGTATCACTCGTTTGCGAGTGTTTATTTATCTGTGCCGGGGATTCGTGAGATTGTAGATATTATACTATACTATACTATACTATGCTATACATACTGGGCTATAAACGGGGTGGTATGTATGGGGTTTATGAAGAGATTGGTTGGGGATGGGAGGTTTGTTGGTGCTGATTTTTAATTATTTTGATTATTGTTGTTGTGTTGTTGTTGCGAATGGGGAATACATAGATGAGTTCGTGTTCGCGTTCTTATTATCAATCATCATCATCATCATCATCATCATCATAACTTTTCTACACCTCCTCCTCTAGGTAAGTAATCAATATAGAACTATAACCACAATTCTCAATCCTATCCTACAAAATCCAGATGCATCATCTTCATACCCTCAAGTTCTTCAATATTCAATTCTCGGGCTATGATAGTCATGGGGAATCTTAAGTTCGTTTGGATGAAACTTTTTGGGTGGTGAGTTTGGGGAGTGCTGGGCTTGCATGTTTGGGTTTTTATATGGACGGATGGAAATAGAGAGAGATTGTGTGTGTGTGATGTGGGGTTTGGAGGGTTTGAGTTGGTTAAAGTGATATTTTGATGTGATGACGAAATGTTACCGCTGATAGATTCTTGGAGGAAGAATAATGATTGGTGTATGTATATTTGCATGTGCGTATTTTTCAGTCAGAGTAATGTTTTGTGTTGAGACTATATAAACACGATATTTACTCGTTGTAGATGAGGTCTTTCACGAATGGTATTTGGCAAGAAAGAAAGGAAAGATTCGTATGAGGTAGTTTTCTTGTAGCACTCTTGAAGTTTTCTGGAGATGGGATTCTTTGTTTTTAGGTCTAGAAGAGTGTTTTTTTCTAAAGTTTGGTATGGTGAATTAGTGCTGTTAATTTTGATGTTGATCTTGTCGTTGTTGTGAACTCTAACGACAATGAACATGTTCGAAGATATCTTTTCGTTGTCATTTTGTGTGTCAAATGTTTATTGAGAAGATGCATGTACCTCTAATAGATCGATATTTCATATGACGCTTTTCATCGAAGAATAAGTAAAAGCCAGTAATAATTTACTCACCACGTGCTCTCATACCATTGCGTTAACATTCCTGGAATAGAGTTGATATTTGAAAAAGCTGGTGGTTTTATACTTAGAAGAGTAAGTGAGAATGGGTGAAGAGAGGATGAGATGGAAGTTTAGTGCATTCACTCATTTTGTAGTTTATCATCTTGAGTTTAAGGTTAGGTATTAGTTAAGTGAATGTATTAAAGAATCATAGAGTGTTTGATGATTGCCATTTTTTTCTCTTTATCGCAGAGTGTAATCTTATTCTAAGGCGATTTTGCTTGTTGACGGGCTGCTGGGCTTCCGGTAACGGTTTCTTTGAAATCAAAAGAAGTAGTATGAGGTCTGCAAGAGGAAAGGAAGACATTTTCGGGGTATGTTTGGGGAAGCAGTGGACTGAGAGAGAGTAGGAGATTCTTTAGCGAGATTAAAATCAAGCATCATAAAGAATGAGGATGACTTCTTTTCCATCATGAGGAGGTATGTACAAGTAGTTAGCATTGTTCAACTAAACCACTTCCAAGTACCCACGTATACCGAGTGATTAAATTGCTATTAAAGGAAATAGAAAATGTTCACTAGAAGATAGGATTTAGTATAGTAGATTCGTTAACATTATATACATTATAAATAGTAGCCAAGCCCATTTTAAACACCACAACCTCTAAGTAAGAACGCCACCTCCAAACAGATACCGCTATATACATGCGCATCTAAATGCACTTTTGGTCATAATTCATTAAGCGTTACCCATAAATACTCTCATCCCAATCCTGTGCTCTCGGTATCCAGTAGCCGACCTGATCTCTAGAATTTAGCATTCAATTTCCATCCGCCACCATAACCTCTTGCGCATGCCATTGCAACTGCGCTAGAAGCATAGCACAGACCAGTGAACAAGATCAATCCCCAGTAAGCACCCCCGCAAGCCTCAATTAGAACGCCGGCGATTGGAACACCGGTCAAACATCCAATACTGACAACTGAATAACAAGTTGCGTAATATCTGCCATAATCCTTGGTGTCGCACAATTGGCCCACGCAAACGGGGGTTAAACCGACATTGCTACCGCATGCAAAACCGAGTATTATGACGGTGCAAATTAAACCCGCGTAAGTGTTTCCGAAAGGAAGCCAGACAACAAAACAGGCAAATACAGTAAGAGAGAGTGCCATAATAATAGTGTTGAAACGGCCAATCATATCAGCTACCAAGCCTGGGAGGAAACGGCCGACAACAGATGCAGCAGATAGGATGGACAGAGATTGGTAGGAGATTCTTGCATCAAATCCTTGATAGAGAGCGTAGGATGTAATATAAGTGACTGGAATAAAAAACCCCCATTCAAGGAGATAGACACCCAATACCGTGAAGGCAAAATCTGGCTTCTTGAAGATTTTGATATCTGGATGAGGGCTTTGAGCAGTTCGGGAACGTGGCAGACGCGGTTTAATGAGGAGGTTGGCTAAAGCGGTGATGAAAACGAAGATGAAACCCATTACACGCATTGTCCATGAGAACTAGATTGATATCGCTTAGTAATGTTCTGTGTTAAATGGAGAAGTTTGGAGAATGTATACTTACACCAATCTTTGGAATGAGGTTCTCTAAGAGAAGCGGGAAAACAATGCCACCGACAGCACCACCAGTGGCTGCAATTCCAGTTGCATTTCCACGCTTCTTATTGAACCAGTGGCCAATTACTGCGACTGATGGAGTAAAGGTCAGCGAACTTGCAAAACCACCGAGTATGCTGAATACGGCGATCCAATGCCAGTATTCTAAAGACAGTTAGCTTTGCACGATCTTGCTTCTTGGGTTCAAAAACTTACCAGTACACTCCCCAAAGAGGAAGATGGAAAGGACAAGCAAAATGCTTCCTGGCAGGACCAAATATCTTGGCCCATAAACGTCGAATGCAGGTCCAATGTAAATGCCGCCAATAAACAAAATGAATGAGTATAGTGAAAAAATCCATCCAATTTGCGAATCAGAATAAGATGCCAACTGGTTCGTAGCTAAGTAAGCTTGGAATGAACCTGTGGAATTTGCAATACCGAAACTGCAAAACATGCCACACCATGATCCAAAGACAACTAGCCAAGCTTGCAATCCACCCTCGGGGTACTTATAATCATCCTCAGAATCCGAATCAGATCCATCTACCAGTGGATCAGGAAGTGGAGTAACAGTAACAACGACTATTTTCTCTTTCTCTGAGCCGAGAGCTCCGGCTAAGGAGCCCTCGTCTGCATTCTTTTCAAGATCAATTGTTGTGGTGGAGTCTTTGTTGACCTGGGATTGGTCCATGGTATGCCGGGTTGAAATGTTTGAGGGATTATGTGCTTATCGTTGTATCTGATGCGAAGAACTCTGTGCCTAGCAGCAGATATAATGCTTTCACGATCAAACGCAATTGGGAGAAAAGGGTACAGGATCCAAGATAGTGGTAAGAAGTATGGGGCTGAATTTGATGCTGAGAGACTTCCTGTGTGCTTTTGATGAGGATGTGATGATTTACTGTAAAAGACGAAGGGAATAAAGACTTCATATATGAAAGATACGCCAGGGTGCTTCAGCTTCAATGAGGATACTTTCTGGTTGTCAATGCCCAACGTTACCACTATGCTTGACTGAACGCCATCCCTTTCGGGATCTAGCCCTCTCCCCAGAGCCGACAGTAAGTATGTTCTTGGTGTGTGATCACTACAAAGCTCCATTACGGCACACACTAATAACTTCACGATGCTAGCTTGCGATGGTAATACACTCAAAAAGTCTTGCCAACTCAAAATCTGGAACAAAATCCGCAGTGCCGACGTAGTACTTGGAACGCTCTGGAGCATAAAGTTGGGCTTATGTCACTCGTGATACCCAAAAATAACGAAAAGAACAGACGAAATTGCGCAAAGGAGGATAAAATTTGAAGAAGAAAAGAAATAATTCTCCACCATTTTGCGGTCAACGGGGAACCTCTGCTAGCTCACCGTGAAGCTTGAACTTGTCAGGTTTTGCGGGGCGGAAAAGGTTTCCAATTTTGGAAAAACAATGCGGATTTCAATAAATCATCTCCATTTCAACAGTACCGACGGTATCCATTTTCCCACAGACAAAGTCAAAAATCTGATGTGAAATACTCATGTGCTGGAGGTGACAAATGGATTGTTGTTTTGACGATAGAAGGATTGTGAAGGGGTAAAATAAAAGAGAATGATTTGGCGACGCAAACGAGAGCTAGCGTAGAAATTCTCGGCAGAAGTTTCTCCGAAGAACCTTTTCTACAATCTCCACCTTCACCTCATATCCATCCATCCTCATCTTCATTCTGCATTCTCAATCACGGTTTCACTCAGCGCTCTAACGTTTTCGTAACCTTAAGAGCATCTGTTCAATAAAATCTATGAACGTGTCGATCCTCTCTCATGATCTCGATCAAAGCGTCATTTCCCTGAATGTCTCGTATACCAACGTGTTTGATCAATTACCACACCGAAGGACAGCGTTCTCAATGCAGTACCTCGAGTACCTGCAGGGACCATGTGTATTTGTTCTAGAATGATTCGATTGGGCTGGAAAGCTTCTTTGCAGGTGAATTTGGAAGCTATTAGCAAACAGAAATTAAAAAGTCCATCTTGTGAAGCGCTTAAGATGGATCCGGGTCGTGCACGAAGCATTCTTCTTGTGGGGATAATTGACATCCCAGTTGTCACGAACACGGTTGGATCCGAGATGTCTGTCTTCTCCACTTGTTCCACTTAGCTCTGGGCACATCTATCATTTTGAATGCGAATCCAATGTCTGAATATGCTCACATGGCATGTAAATGTCCCTATCGGTGTAGCAGTACTTACCAGTGTAAGGTTAAAGTTACTTTGTATAGTGGAGAGCTTTTTTTTTACCAGCAGAAATCCATATCAATCGGCAGGCGACCTAAACCTTAAGAAAAATATGCAAGAAAATGGACGTTCTTTTTTTTTCATGGTTTGCTACAGCCTACAGGTACGGAGAAAGCGGACTGGTACCTGGTCAGTTCCCATCTCTACTTCGGGGCCATAAGTCCCAACTGCAAATCCACAGTTTCTATAGCTCACTTACACATCTATATATATGCTAAAGCTTGGGCCAGGCGAAGTTGCAGACTCACGCTATTCCCGGAAAGCATCCAAGCTCTGAAACGTTAGAATGAACAGGGCGTCTCAAAGTTAGATGGTGGTATGTGCTGTCTAGTCTCCGGTACATGAACAGTGCCATCAGTCCTACTTATTATTTTGGATGTGAGTAGGTACCTAGTTGATGTAAAAATGTTGATGAAGGAGATATCGTCCATATCTCAAGGCCTCTAGAAATCTGGCGTAAATTTCAGTGAGCGTCGTAACCTGTAGATGACGAGCTGTGTAACTCTCGAGATATGGGAACCACCCCCAGCATTCTCAATCGTGCGAACATTTCTTGATTCTGAATTCCTGCCAGCCCCAGGCCTTTCAACAATTTCTTGAATGAACAGAACTTCTTTGCAGAATCAAACCCTTTTATTCGCCAATTCAAATTTTGTGAAATTCATTCCATCACCAAATGCAGATCATTTGGGACAAAGAGGAACATGCACAGAATGTACTGTCAGTCAAAGAACAAGAATCCTTTGAATGGAATTATCGTCATGAAGAAGGATAAAGTTTTATTTTCCAAATTTATCATTTTTGCCCATCTTTTATATTCGCAAAGTGTGGTGATATCAATGATCGAATTCAATAACAATGGAAAATTCATCAAAACTCAGCGAGTACGAAAGTAAGCGAGCGAAATTGGTCGCTGATGAACAGGAGTACAGAGGGGGTGAGTCTTCTGTTCATCTCTCAACTCAAATATGACACACTAACGTTGTAGACTATGGTTTTGTTGAGTCTCTTTCGCCTACAGCCCAAGCCGCCAATACGATAGTTTCTCGCATTCAACAATTCAACCGGCAGGTTCTTTTTGATCCAGTTGAGCCAACGAGTCGCTTACGTTCAGACTCTGGTTTCCCCCGCATCAAAGAATCCATAGCAAGGACAGCTTTGTTAGAAATAATGAAAAAGTTACCAAAAGGTGCAATTCTTCACGCCCATGACGCTGCTTGCGTCTCGATTGATTTTATCATTGAGAAGATGATCGAGACTCCGGGCATGTATATCAGCGCCTCAAGGCCCCTTGACGAATGGTGGGCGAAAAGGGAGAAGAGAATAAAGATAAAATTCACATACAGTTCTTCGCAACCTCGACAGACTAGAAACTCAGTAAACAATCTTTGGGGCCCTGATTATGTACCCAATTCACTTGTTCCAGTCTCTCTTGCGGCGTCTACATACCGTGATTACCCTACCACTTTGAACTACGATAAATATCGTATCGCAAATAGTATCGAAAGACAACCTCTTCAGGGCAAGTCTTACTTTATCACCTGGTTGAAGATTCGATTAACGAAGACGGAGACCCAGCGTACATATGTCAATGGGAGATTCAATGAAGCTTGTAATACATTCCAGAGTGGAAGAAAGCTACTTAATACGATAATTCATAACGAGCCAATTTTCCGACCATTCCTCAAGCAAATTTTTGAAGGGCTGGACGAGGACAACGCTAAGTGGATAGAGATTAGGATGATTTTCAAGGTTGAATTTCGATTAGAATGGAGTGATACACCAGCCGGAGAGCTTGAAATGGCAAGAGTAGTTTGGGAAGAAAGAGAAAAGTTTGCAATCGCGATGAAAAAGAAAAATAAAGAATGGTGGGGACTGCGGGTTATCTGGACAGGCTTGAGACTGTGGAAAGATGAAGAAATCAAAGCTGGTATGTTTTTCCTTTATACATATCTCTGGGAGAAGCTGACTCCATTCAATAGATATGGATGCTTGCATGCGTGTGAAGGAACGATATCCAGATCTGATCTCAGGATACGATTTAGAGGGAGAAGAAAAACTCGGTCGTACGCTCGAAGATCTCATACCTATTTGCCTCTGGTTTAAGCAACAATGCGCAAGCCGCAACTTAAACATTCCATTTTTCTTGCATGCAGGAGAATGCTTGGGTAATGGTGATGTAAATGACCATAATCTTTAGTAAGTATGCTTGAAACATATTCAATGCTCCTGACTGCTGATTGTTGGTTGTTTAGTGATGCCATTCTTCTAGGTACTCGACGTATTGGTCATGGATATTCACTTCCTAGACACCCGCTGCTGGAAAACATTTGTAAAGAGCGACAAATTATGATCGAGTCCTGTCCACTCTCAGACGGAAGTATGAGATTAACAAATCCTGCCAATGCTCATACTTTTCCAATGCTGTTGGCAAAAGGTGTAAGTGCTAGTTTGAATTGTGACGACCCATTTTTATTAGGTCAAGAAATGATAGGTGTTTCAATGGAATTCTTCATGTGCATCTGGTCATGGGATAGTATAGATCTGGGTGGTCTGGTATGTGTATTTCCTCTATGGACCGATTGTACTGTGATGAACGAGCTTGCAAGCTAATTTATAATAAAAGGGTCATTTGGCACAAAACAGTGTAAGGTGGTCACAATTTGAAGATCAGACTGACGAAGATTGGCAATCGGGAATCCGATCAGGCGAGGATTCAAAGAAAGGATTAAAGGCTCTGAGAATGCGAGAGTGGAAGAAAGACTGGGAAGAATTTTGTGCTTGGGTTGTTGAAAGATACGGAGAGCCTTGGGGAAATGAAGATGCTTTTAAGGCTACTTTGAAAGAGAGAGCGGAATTGATTGAGCAAGATATGGCGGATGAAGATGCGGTAGAAAAAGAACTTGATAGAATAGCCGCGCGGTACAAGGAAAAAGACGAGTCGCTAAGAGAATGGAAAGATAAAGAGATGAAGAGAAGGAAGTTCATTACTAAAGCGAAGGAACTGATGGCTGAGGAAAAGCTACAAGAAAATATGTCTAAAGGCTTGAAGAAACCTCCCGACAGTCCTGATAAGACTCCAAAGATGGTATTGAAGAAGCTACCAAAGAGTTGAAACTGGATTTTGGAAGTCGATCCGAGATGGATTACTGCTCAAGGTATCAAGCAGGTTCTAGACATAAATCTAGAATAGCAAGAAAGACTGATCAAAGCTAAGTGTATTGGAGTTCTCGATCATTATGTCAAAGTCAGGAATTAGTTGCAGTTCACATTGTTAGATTTTATGGTATATATCACTATGTAATGTATGATTAAAAAGGGATACAATGAAAATGACTGTTCTTGCACCAGACGACTATGGAAAGTGGGAGATGACTAAAGCAAGGAAATTCGGAATATTTCCTTGACTCCATCTGGATAAGTTTCAATATAATAATAAGTAGGTAGCTAAGTCTCAGGGAAGGAACGAGTCGAAAATTTAGCTTCCCCATTCAGGTCCCGGTACTTATCAATGCGGGGTAATGTTGACTGTTATCGTTGACATGATCCACACAATTCGATTTCCAAAGTCATACTGTAAGATTGGGAGACTTTCATTTGATATAGGTAAAGCAAATTAAGGGATATATCGAAAAGATCAGCAACTCAGATACAGAAGCAAGTGGTAGGTACCATTGTCTTGGTTTCTTGTTGCTCAGATACTCACTATGGAACTAATTATCTTTTCACAACGACCTTCACTTGCTCTCTCAGATGACACCATTTCTTCATCGCAGAGCGGAAAAGATTGGACCAAAGAAGAAGAGAAAATTGCCCAAGCCGCCTGAGATTATGATGAATCCCAAAGAGAAGTCTTAATTTCGAGACATATACTTATCGACTGAGAGAGCTTTGCTCTTTCACGCTTAAAGATCCTTTTGTCGACGACGGCCGATATACATATGATTCCGATGGGGAATGGGAGGATAATGCGCCATATACCTAGTATTAATAACTATGTGCTTAGGGTTCATCTGTCTTCTCTTTCAATGCACACTCGGAGATGAAAATATTCTACTTTTGAATACTTCCAGTGTAATTGATGAACGATTGGTTTATGCATATTCAGAAAAAAGTGGGGGACTTTTCATCAGAGGACAGGATATCTGGTTGATGTCTGTCTTGAATGATTGGCGAGAGAATTCCTATTAATCTCATAGTTTACTACAAATTAGCCAAATACATCAAACCAGTGCCTTCAGCGCAGCCTATGTATTCAGCGTCCAAATCTCCCGACTTCAAAACACACAGCTCCACAAACAACACCGACTTTCCCTTTTCCAACTGGCCTCCAGGCCCATAAAGACTCATGACCGTCTTTCTCAATTCCACATGACCTTTATGGGAACGGCCTGCTTGCTCAAAATGCGACAGGTCCAAGAAATATCCAAGTTGGTTTGTCTCTGCGATAGCTTCGGTATCAAGCTCTAAATCTCCTTTGGCATCAAATTTTTCATTCACCATCTCTGGAGTGGGGTTCTCATGGCCTATGTGTGTTGTAAATGCCACTACACCATTTTTGTTGCGTTCAGTATCGAGATGAGATATCCAGGATTGGGCATGTGGATTTATTTGCTTGAGCCAGGCTTCTGTTTCCGCGGGTGGGATATTTGGTTGGCGTTGTCCTTCACGGACAAAAATGAGATTCTCGGGTGGACTAGAGATGGTTACTCTACCTAATTTTATCTTGGAGCTGCGAATTTTAGGTATATCAATAGTTTTTCTCGCGTCGTTTGGTTTTGCTTTGGTGATGGTAATATAAGCGGAGGTAAATGTATCTTTGGGATCGGTATGTGCATCTAACGTCTCAGATAGTCGATGACGGTATACGCCCCAGTATCCTTCGTCGGAACTTTGTTTTAATGGAAGAAGAGTACCCATTGCTGAGGCGACGGGTTGGCTTGAGGCGAACATGAAGCGCGATTTCGGGACGGTCATTACCTCGCGCCAGACACCTGCGTCTGGGGGGAGAGAATTCCAGAATTCTTGAACTGGGGAGGAGGCTTGGAATGATTGGTAGGAGGAGGATGATAGCCAGTAGGCGATGAAAGTAGTGGATTTTGGACCATGACGAGGAAGTCCGTGACTTTCGTCTTGAAGATGGTCGACACGATTGGCAGACGAAGAGAGTAGCTTGTATAGGGTGGATATGAAAATTACTTTTTTTAGCGTAAGTTCTTCGTGTTGGACACCAAAAATTCCATAAGTAAAGATGTAGTCTTTTCCGTCCATATCAAGAAGAAAAACCATGATGGGCAATGTTTATTAAGATAACAGTAGTATATCTTCTCGTGGGAATTGACACTTGTATCCAGAAATCACATAAGGTCTTTGATTTTGACCATCTGAAAAAGTACTAACATGAAAGCAGTATGGAAGGATCTGAAACACTTTTTATAATGGCTTACTATGCCTGGAAATATTTTGTCCATAGATGGGTACCCCTGAATTTCAGCATGACTGGCTCTTATCTTCATGTTGCGGATGTAGTATCCGCCCTAACGACATAGCCATATGGAGACGATGACAATAAATATACAGTAAGACTGCGTTCGGCTAACATGGTGCCACTCAGCTGCGGAGATAGGCTATTGAGATTGTGCGACATTACTCCTGTGTAACACATAGCTTGAAATACGGCACTTTCGTAATGATTTCTGTGTTGGATGCAGGAGATTGGAATTCAAAGAAGTTGTCCGGAATATGTACGGGTTATTAGTTCTAGGAAGTTGCCGGTACGCTTCTACACTATTGATGTCTAACTAACCACGTTTTGCGTAGCTCAAAAGCTCAGACCATAAGTTTATTACTACGAAGTAGGTACCTGTTGACAATGACAACGACCTGAAAAGTTGCAACAGCGAGTGATACATACCTAGGTACCGGGAACCAGCGTTCAATGTGAATCTTCTACATCTCAATGCCAAGAGAAAGGTCTCCATCAATCATTAACCTTGATAACCGCGGAAACAATTCCATTGGGATTTACAAATGTAAGGTCCACCAGTGGGGAGAAGACTATGACATTCTCATATGCATGTCATATCGTTTACTAACATGATTCATTTAGCTTCTTGTCTTATGTAGCATATTTCAACTTGCAAGAACACTATCAAACGTGCGGGTTTATGTTGTGTATCCGCAGCCATGGAATCCATGACTTCTAACGAGCAAACACGTCTACGAATCAAAGTTGCTTGTGAAGAATGTCGAAGGAACAAACGAAAGGTATCTATCGACACCATAATATGACCTAGAATAGTTCGTAGCATTATATACTAATTATGATCAGTGCCAAGGCCAGAGACCAACATGTGCTTTATGTGAAAAAGGAGGGAAGCTGTGCTATTATCCACCAGAGACCTCGCGAAAGTATGTTCTCAGTTGACTGAATCAGTCTACACCACCAGCTTAACTAATACGCACAGACGTAAACATTGCGATGATGGCTATGTCCGTAGTCTCGAGGACAAAGTAAAAGCTTTGGAGGCTCAGTTGGCACACTATCAAAGTTTGGACCCTCAATCTCAACACAATGAAGAATACATGGGTCACGAGATTTTGCCCGTACGCAGTCCTGCTACCACCAGTTCTCTTACTTGTGAGTCTGAAGCCATGAGCCCAGAGAGCATTGATGAGCCCAATGATCCGCGCTCGCAGGTTGCATTGAAAGAGCTTGCTTCATTGATGTTAACCATGGATATCGAGAAGGGTGAACCGTCATTTACCATCCCAAGGAACAAGTCCTCCTCTAGACAAAATTCCATTTCAACCGAGAACTTGAATCCTGATACTAGCAGTCATGACACAGACTTTAAAAATATTGGATTCTACACAGAAACACGAACGCATCTCGTTGATTGTTTCATGGCTGCATTCAATATTTATCATCAATTTATAGAACAAGGAGAGTTTCAAACCATTCTATTGGAGACCACATTCTCAACAGAACTGGATTTTGACTTCCGTAATCATGCCTTGCTTTCCGTGGGTGCCTTTCTTTCTCCCAAGTCGGATGCAAAGGAATTGAGTACTCACCATGCCACATCTGCCGAGAACATCCTATTGAGATGTATACGGGAACATCCGAGTGACTTGGTTGTTCAAGGACTTGCATTGTTATCGTGGCGAGAGTTGATGCTGGAGAATAACAGCATGGCCTACACTTACATAGGTACATCTTCCCTCATCTTTTGGTCAAACATTTATTGATAGAATTATCGCAGCTATGGCCACAGGCTTGATACTACATCTTGGGCTTCATGTGAGTAGCCTCGGATCAGGGAAGTCGCCAGACCTGAGTTTGAATCGTAATTCCACGGTCGATGACTATGTTCGTAAACGCCGAATAAGGTCATTTTGGGCTTATTTTTCGGTGGATCGGTAAGTATATCTGTACACAGACTACGATGTAAAAATAATAACTTTTGTGTGTAGCATGGTAACTTCAAGTCTTGGAATGAATTGCACCATACACTGGCAACGTATTCGAATATCCTCATTCTTCAGCGTCTTGGATCATAACCCGTCACCCGATGAATTGGCCCATGATAAGTTCTGCCAGCTATGGCATATTTGGGACTCTTTCATGGATCAAAGGTAGGTTCTCGTATCACAATTAAAGAACAATCAACTCACATTATCAATTAGGTATGCGTTTGAGTGGACCGTTTTGAAAGCCAAGCAACGGGAAAATCTTTTGAAACGCGCGCATCAAGCACTCACAGATTTCTATGCGGGTACCGATGATAAGCTGGCTCTGAGTAAGACTTACATGCCTCAAACTTTCCTTCTTTTTCAGTTGGCATATCACACTGCAATATTGCTCATTCATCGTCCCTTTCTAAACGAGCCTAAAGGCTCGGAAACTCTGAGCTTTGCTCTGAGATCAGCGACAAACGCCGCTGCCTCGATAGCTCGAATTGTTCGAGCATATCGAAAATTTCGTGGATTTGCTGATGCCAATCCTCAAGTCATAGATTACATTCTTAGTGCTGCCGTGATTCATTTATTGAATGCAACATCTGGCCGTAACTTTCTAGGGAGGCAATCTGCCAATAGCCTACAAAGTTGTTTGGATGCTCTAGTCGAGATGCAGAGTACGTGGATGCCACAAGCAAGCAGAGCGATACAAGAAATTCAAGAGCTCGCAGCCAAATGGAAAGTAGTATGGGCATTACCACTAAAATTTAGCCAGCGCTTACCAGAAGGGGAAATTCGTCAAGACCGCAGTCGAGTTATGGTACCGATGCAAGAATTTTCAAATGTCCTTACTGGTGGCGCTCAAATACCCCATGGATTTGATATGGGTGAAACCGCGAATAGGTACATGTATACTGGCTTCAATAATGACTGCGGGGCTCTGTGGGATCCAAGCTTATTTGAAAATGCATTGGAGCATGTCAATCTACCTGAACATTTTGCGTATCAATCAAGTCTTGAGTGGCTTTTCGACGAAAGCAATCCTGGTCTGCAGTAGTAGTCTATGAGATATCAAAGACAAGAAAGTTTCTGACATTTGGCGATCCGTCGGACGATGTAGTCGACAATTGTGCTTACACCCGAGTAAGACATAATAAATTTGCTTCTCCAAGGAGAACGTAAATATTCAGGCGGAATTAGTACCGCGGAATCCCTATTTTTAGCGGTATGTCAACAACCAAGCCACTGTCTTATCGGCCAGCGGGGGCTTCATCCGCAAGATAAGAAATACCAAATGCGGGGAAAGCTGTGTAGTATCTTATTGTACTTTGAACTTTCTCTTTTTGGGTATTCATGCACAACATTACCTGATACAATCTCACCAAAATCATGGAGTTGCGAGATATCACAGGTTGCAGGTTTGGAACACATAAGGACAAAGAAAATGCTCACTGTGGTATTCACTTTGTTCATTTTACAATTTCTCTACCAACAGTTTTTAAAATTCTACTAAGAACATGGCTATCTCAGCTTCCACAAGATATCGCGTAGCTGTTACTCAGCATGAGCCGGAATGGTTTGATTTGCAGAAGTCGGTGGAAAAAACATGCCGTATCATCACAGAGGCTGCAGAGAACGGTGCGCGGCTAGTTACATTCGCAGAAGCATTTATTCCAGGCTATCCTGCTTGGATATGGTGAGGAACTCTAATCTCTAAAACCCCATTCCGTTTGCGACACTGACCGAACAGCAGGACTCGCCCAGTCGACCCAATTCTCTCTACCAAATACATCAAGAACTCCCTAGTCGTCGATTCTGATGAGATGAGAACCATCCAAGACTGTGCCGCGAAGTATGGAATCGTCGTCTCTTTAGGATTCTCCGAAAACGACAACAACTCATTGTACATTGCGCAAGCTATCATCGATGGCGATGGAACGATAGTCATGAAAAGAAGGAAGCTAAAGGCTACGCATATGGAGCGTACAATTTTTGGAGACTCTTCTGGAGACAGTCTTATGAATGTTGCTTCGACTCGCGTTGGAAGGGTTGGAACTCTAGCGTGCTGGGAACATTGTCAACCGTTGTTGAAATATCATACTTTATATCAAAGGGAACAAATTCATTGCTCGGCATGGCCACCGATTGTCAATCATACTGGTGGACCTGAGTTATGGTCAATGTCTATGGAAGGTAAAGAAATACAATTCTCTCAACTGCAGGATGTCACTAACCCGCATCTTCCAGGATGTCAAGCCCTCTCCCAAGTATATGCCATTGAATCTCAAACCTTCGTTCTTCATACCACCACAGTTATCACAGAAAAAGGAGTCAACGCCAATTCTTCAGAAGGAGGATTGTTGATGTCGGCGCCAGGAGGTGGTGCTTCAGTTATTATTGGGCCCGATGGCCGTGTTATGTCGACACCTCTCGGTTCTACAACTGAAGGAATTGTCTATGGAGATATTGATCTTGATCAAGCGCTATTTGCGCGCAGTTTCTTGGATGTTTGTGGGCATTATAGTAGGCCGGATCTTTTATGGCTTGGATGCGATACTCGTGAACGTAAATTGAGGGTCGAAGAGAAGCTTGAAGTTACGGAGAAGTGATGGATTTTGCTGCACTATATCTTATGAACTATCCTCGCAAATTTTTATCTAATGCCTATTTATTGGTACTGCTGTTTGCTTGAGTTTATGATGATGCAATTTTCTATCCAATGCTGCTAATCTGCAGGCTTTTTTGAACAAACATTCTGTATTCTTGCAAGACGCATGGGGGCATATCGAGGCTAAAGCCAAACGACTATAACATTGCGGTAAATTGTCTCAAGCTCCCTACATCCAAAATTTCGACTATTTTAGTAGTCTGAAATGAATCCCTCTGGTGGAGAATTGAGGAGGGTGAGTATTTGCCGGTATAGTCAAGCATGCCATTTCTAGACGCTTTAAAGACTTGAAAGATGCCTATTAACCACCGAAGACCTAGGGCTCTGAGGCATCGAGCTTGCATTTCAGCAGGAACGGAGTTTATAACTTTGAATCTTGCGATCCGTGCTTATTAATAATTTGTGAGGGGCTGAGCGTGACGTTTTGATCTTGTTGCCATCTGATAAACATTCTAAGCATCTTCTTTTTCCTCATCACTAATCCTCATGGGATCTTTATCACCGACTGATAGGTTGAGTACAGCCAGAAATTTCGTAAGAGACTAATTGTTTGCCACATATCAACTGGATCCATGAGATAATCTATTGAGGTTCTCAGCTCACGTTTTCCAGTCGTCCCACTGTCAACTCTCGCGGTTTTGAAATCACCAAAAAGCAACTGAATACTTCACGAGGCATTGATCTATCCATCACACGTCGGTTGTACGACGCTGAGCTCAAATCTGAGAAAAGCGGTTACCGCAACAGGACAGCTGAAGTTCCAAATGGCGGGATGATGTATCTAAAAGGCTCTTGAGCATACAGAACAATATATAAAAAAGCCACTTCCGATGATGTCTATTTATCTGGTATAGGTTGTCTCTCGCCATTGGTTTACGGCTTCTCGAGTCCCAACTTTTGCACACATGGAGACTCGTTGTAGTATTCATATTTATATATATTCCAAGCCAACCTCTTCTCTTACCGAGATTCGGAATGTTTTGCGCTCGCTGCTGTGTTCAAGTGGCACTGACTATTCATATGCAGATGCATCGTAATAACATCGGGTTCATGACACGGGTTGCTTTACCCCGCTCCCCCTTGTTTACTTTTGAGGGAGCCAATGATTAATAGGTACCAAATACTTCAACAGACTTCTGGCTCCGCTAATTACACCTCATCATCTTCATATATTTAGTTATACATGTTCAATGTTTCATCATATTTTGTCTCTTTTGTGGTCAATTGACCGTTGAGCCAGATACTCCCAATGGCAACACAAAACCCCACCGAAACTACCTCGCTGCTCAATCCCCCACCGGAACCCCAATCCGAAATCCTCTATCCCAATGGCGATGCCGCGACTACCAATTTTGTTGTCCCAGACGATCCCTCCACACTCTACGTATGGATCCTCATGATCGGGCCCTTTCTATCCGCCTTCGTAGCAGCTGTTGATTCCTCCATGATTGCTACACTCTCATCACCTATAACTTCCTCATTTGGCTCACTGTCTCATCTTCCATGGCTTGCTTCTGCATATTTCATAGCAAACGCTGCAATTCAACCTTTGTCTGGAAAACTCACTGATATCTATGGGAGACGGAGTGGACTTGTACTTGCGAATATTGTGTTTGCATTGGGGAATTACATGTGTGCAAGTGCGAAAATAGAATGGGTGTTGATTGCTGGTAGAGTTGTAGCAGGGCTAGGAGGTGGAGGGATTATGGCCATTGCAACTTTTCTCTTGTCTGATTTAGTGCCTCTGAGAGATAGAGGTATGTGGCAAGGCATTGGAAATATGATTTTGGGCGTAGGATCCGGTATAGGTGGTGTACTTGGAGGATGGATCAATGACTCTCTAGATTGGAGAGCTACATTTTTATTGCAGATTCCCATCACGCTGTTGGCTACGATATGGACATGGTTCACTATACGCATACCTACTGTAGATGATGGGGAGCGGAAATCAAATCTCAAACGGATTGATTACTTGGGTTCAATCAGTCTATTCACAACGCTCGTTGCGTTACTTCTTGGCATGAGTACCGGAGGTAACACGGTATCTTGGACCAGTCCCATCGTTCTAATCAGTCTTCCTCTATCCTTGATATCCCTACTGGTTTTCATTATCACCGAACTCAAATACGCCAAAGAACCCATCATACCACTTCCTCTTCTCTGCGATCTATCTGTTGCAGGCGGCTGTCTCACAAATGCTTTCTCCTCAGCCTCCCGCTTCGCGATGATATTCTATCTCCCCCTCTTCCTCGAAGCGCAGGGCTACACCGCCACAAAAATCGGTCTCCGTCTAATTCCCGGCTCAATCGGCACAGCCATTGCCTCTATGATTGCTGGAATCATAGTGAAAAGTACTGGGAGGTTTTACAAACTCGGTATTGCATCCCAAGTCATCTATATTCTGGGAATGGCGTTTATCTGCACATTTACATTACGGACATCTGCCTGGCCCCCCTTTGTCTGTTTTTTCATCATTAATATTGGATATGGAATTACGCTTACTACGACTATTCTCGCGCTTCTGTCGTCGGTGAAAGCGAAAGATCAGGCTGTTATCACATCCGCACTCTTTGCCTTTCGTTCAACCGGAACGGTATTGGGGATTTCAGCAGCGGGACTTACGTTTCAAAGTGTGTTGGGCAAATTATTATGGGAGAAACTGGGGGATATAGATAATGCAGCAGAATGCATTCAGCGAATCATTGATGATTTCAAGGTAGTTGATGGTCTTGAGGAAGGTTTAAAAGAATTGGCTCTGCAGGCTTATATGGGCGCTGTAAGAGCTGTTTTCTTTTTAATGTTGGCATTGGGAGGATTAGCTTTGGTGTTTACGTTGTTAATTAGGGATCGGGAATTGTCTCAGAGAATGGTACGATGATTTGCTAGTTGCTTTCTGGAGTCCATTGGACTATTGAATTTACCTGAAAATTAACATTCACTTGGACACTGGGAAATGTCTTCAGTTTACCTTTCCAGAATGTTAGATAACATTCTATCCTTATCTATAAAAGTTGGAATCAATGTACCAACTCTCAGACGGCAGAACCTCTAAACCATCAAACACATCCATTTCTCTACCAAAAAATTCCACATCACATATCAAAATCAGGCCGCTGTAGATAACAAGCATACAGCATATCATGATCCGACTTCCAGACATGAGAATAAGAACACATGTCGTACTTCTCTAGCCCAAAATTCCACCTGCATGAAAAGTATTTTAAAAAAAAATACTCAATGAAGCGTGCTTATGCAGCAGCTATAGGAGACGAAACCTTCTCTTTCACTACTTTCCCGAATTGATATGTGAGATCTGAGCTTTTCTTATTTGCATCTTCAATATTCCAGAGAGCTTGCGCTTGCTGTTCTTCTTTCACGGTCCATGTGCTCGTATTTGATGATCGAGATGAGTTTGCTGCTTGTCATGTTATTTGGGGTGAGGAGATGATGGCATAAATATACAAGTGCCACTTACCAGGTAGTGTTACCGCATTTCGGTAATCTGTGATATATCTCCCAAGGATACGTTTCCTAATCTCTTCGCACATTTCCTCGAGTTTTTGCTTCACTAGTGTCTGGGTCCTTGCAAGTACCATTCCTTTTTCAAAACCTGTCGCTACCCACGTTCCTCCCCAGTAGATTTTGGTGAACGGCACCACTACCATTTTCCCTCTCTGATACTTCATCTCGAGGGATTTATCTTCTGAAGTTAGAGACTCGGGTGGGATAGTGAACGCCAATCCAATATCTAGACTCCGATGCTGTTCAAAAAACTTGAACCACTCGGCGACGGTAAACTTGGGGCGTGTTTTGAAAACCCACACGTCGTGGTTTTTGGAGTTGGTTATGTTCTCAGTGATGAAGAGCGAGATGTTCTTTTCGAACTGCTGTTCTGTGGACAGGAGACTCCATAATCGGGTTCTTTCGGCTTCGTTTTGGATGCGCCAGGAAGGGTCGTGTGGACGATGCCTTTCTGCCTCAATTATTTCCCTCAGGCGTTCTGGTTCTGTAATTGGTTCATCGTTCTCATTAGTTTCATTCACTTCATCCTGATCAGTGATTTCAATACGCTCAACAAATTCAAAGTAATCTTTCAATCTTTCCTGCATCTCTTCTCTAGTACCAGAAGTATTTAGACCACGAAACGCACAATATGCACGCCATTTCTTCAACGTTTCCTTGGGTGGTTCGAAATATTCCGCTTCGGGACGATCATATTTTTCAGAGACTATTCGGTGATTCAAGGACCAGTACAATAGACCATCATCTTTGTTTCGTTCCCCTTGATATACTAATTCGCCCTCTCCGTCAAGTGTAAAGTCTGCTAGGTCCTCGTGGGTAATTTCAATGGGGGGTATAAACACTGCTGCGGGATTCGCGATGTATTCGGTTCTGACGATGACGCCCTTGGGAGGTTTTACTCTCTCTGGTTCTTTGGGTGTGACGATCTTTGGGGACTTGGGAGACTTCGTCTTCTTTTCTCTGGGTGTGGTAGTTTTCCGTGGGGTTTTAGGAGGGCTGGTTTTATTTTTCTTTGGTGTAGTGGGAGTTTTACCAGGACTAGATATTAAATTTCCACCACCTGGTGCAGCGTCGCTTTGCTTCTGGCGTTTTGAAGGCGGCTCGTCTTTTTCCAAAGGTGAGTTGTGCTTCGTTGCTTCTCTCTCTTCGGAGACCGAGCCTTCCACTGATCCCAACATATCCTCAAAGCCTAGTTGATCTTCTGATCCTAACATAGCTTCTGACCTCAGCTTATCCTTTTCTACGTATGATGCCGCGGCATTCGTTGATTTCCCGCTACGCAGCCAGTTCATTAGGATTGATGTTGAGGCATTGGTATTTGTCGATATCCCTCCGCGATTTGCCCTTTTTACTTTTGAGGCAGGTGTTGCAGCTCTTTCGCCTTGCATGGCTTTCTTCTTGGGAGTGATTTCATCTGCAGCTGGAAGCAATCCTTTGTTTGGTGTTTGGTGATCAGTTGATGACTTTGGGTTCCCTCGTTTTTTGGAGGCAGAAGCTTCGGTATTGTTCATCTTGGCTTGTTGATTGTGTATATAAATATGATTAATTAACAATTTTACCGTTTCGTACGAATTATGTGAACTCAATAACCCGACAGTCTTTATATGATCCTAATATACAAACTTAGAGAAACAGAAAGATACAAGGCTTCGGAGCAGGAAGTTATTTTGGGAACGCATGAAGCGGGGTACTTCAATCCGGCCTCAATGATATCCTAAGTAGGTATGCACATGGATTTGTTGACCTCTCATCACACTGCGTAATGAAACAAAGCGGGTAGATGGTGCATCCTAGACTCTTAAATGCTTCTTGTAATCAAATCGACTACTGAAATTCGCACTGGTCAAAATCCACAATTGGATGAAGCAGAAGCTGAATACTTATAATCATGCCCTGCTGATCTTTGTTCACTCTGCCTGAGTATGTGGCACCATTGTCCACCATACCCCGAGCCGGGGTTATCATATGCATACTCATGTATATATGAAACTGTAGAACTTGATTCTTCGTCCATACACAAGAAAGGGATAAGAGCGATGTAACACTGATGGAAAATGACTCAGAGATTGTCACGCTTGAACCTGCTTCATCCAGCAATGCGAAAAGATATGTGTAGGTCTAATGGAATTTATATTGAGAATTGTGGTGAAAAACAGTAGGTTAATGTGAGTAAATCGAAGTTGAGTAGCATCTTTAGTGGTGTTGAATACTTGCTAGCTCGAGATCATGCAGGTGACAATGTGACTTGCACCGGCATGAACCGAAACCAACACCCATTGGCCGAGAACGAATGATCCACCATATCTATCCATCCCCCCCCCTCCCCCGTAATATGGTCTTACTAGCTCACCGGTCCGCCGAAGCCTATTTGTATTCTAGATAACGTGGTTTATCAATGAGCGGGTTATATCAGTAAATGGATCACTTATTTTATATACAAAATTCATCTGTATATAACCATGTATTTTCTTTATTTATAAATATAATTTTCTGAAAATTTAATATAAAATATTTGAATATAAAATAATTCCAAAAATCTAATTAGTTTTAAAAAATTAGAATTTATAAAATTATTATTATAAAAATAGTTTTTTTGTAACAAAAATTGTAACAATTTTCTTTCTTTTTTAGAAAATAATAAAATTATTTTATAAAAATTAGATTAATAGAAAATCTATATTTTAATTATTTTTAAAAATCTTTTATTCAAAAAAAATAATAATTAATTATTAAAATATTAATATTTTGAAAAGCTTGATTTAAATAGTTTTCAAAATAATCCATTCACTGATATAATCCGCTCACTAATAAACCACGTTAGTATCTTTAGCAAACTGCGACATCGTTAGACTAAGACCTCGCTAGGCTCGGTACTTATTCATGTTAAATAAATGTAAGATTTCCATATTCAACACTCAGTAATTTTGGAGAACTCCAAATCAGCTGACCATACACTGTACATAAATTTCAACCTCGCAAGTAAAAATCATCGAATCATTGAATCGTGAAGAATGTAACCTGTCAGCCCAGTTTGGTCACGTTCCACGTTATACCTTGTTAACACATCTGAATTGTATTTTTGCCGAGATATCCGCTCACTCACCAGCAAAACATCGACTACCTAGTAGGCCCACGAGTATTTGTTAGCACTCGTACGAGTTGCGCATTATATATCAAAATCGCGCTTCTGAGAAGCCTCTCACATTAAGCAAACGCTTCTTTTACATCTTCCCATAAGAAAAATCACCGATGAAAATCTGGCGCAGATGTTTCCTCAATACTGTGCGTGAAGACCAAAACAGTTGGTTGCGCTTCCTTCCCAGGTGACTAGCAGTCAAGCAAGTATATATTGCGGATAAGACATCTTTTTCTTATCAAATTTTGGCGCCAATGATACTGTTGCGACTCAGAGAACACCTCCCATTCATACACACGAACGCTCCTACGTTTCTCACTGAGATGAATGCCTGCAGCGCACAACTAACTATCCATCTGGTCGTCTATTCTTTCCATATTAAATACTGTGCAGGTATTATATGGGTAGCACACGCAGTCTTGCAAAATGATACTCCTCCATAAAACTCACTATAGACACACTAGTTCCACGTACGCATACAGTATGAGAAGAATCATGCATAGATACCTAACCCAGACATGATCATGGGCGACATTACGATCAATCTGTCGCCAAGCTATTTCAACACGAGAAACACAAGTGAGAACGAATCATTCTCTAGAACAATATGAAAGCCAGCGAAAGATATCGATGTGAATTTACGTTGACACTTGTCAATCTTTGTGTGACGTTTCGATGACTGTCTTACGAATCGTGGTAATGTACTGCTCCTTAGAGCTAGAAACATAGCTTTCTGGGGTTGTCAAACGTGACGAAACTTCTAGACCTGGTTTGTAGGTGCGAGAAGAAAATTGGCAAGCTCCAAAAAAATCATATTCGCAGGACTTTTCCAGTGCTGCGAATTTTGATGATAGCAAGTCTCAAACAAGCAGAAAATTGATGAGTACACATTTAGTTCCATGCTAATAATAAATGCGAAGTAAAGACATTGCATTTTTTGAGATGCTCGCTACGCTACATTCGATACAAGTAACCTCCGTCATTATCATCATCTAATCCCCGTAATCTAGATCCCAATATTTCACTGTATAATATAGCATATACCTATGAAGCCTTCTCACCATATACTTCCTTATTGTATCGCATATATCTCCACCCCAACAGCGGCTTTGCTCCTGATATTACTTACAGACTCGGAAATTCCACCACTACCTGCATTTAATCTGCTATATGCCGTCCATCTGATCAATGTTTTTTAGACCGCCTGGTACCAAATATCTCTATCTTTGGGCCAACCTCATACTCGAAGTCATCATCCGCTTCGAGCTGCGCCCTATCCTCCAATAATTGCCTGCGAGTAATTGGTTCCAGCATGTCGAACTCAAGACTTAGAGATAGATTATTCATATGAGCAATAAGATCTGAACTTCGCGTAATGTTCGGTAGTATTGGAAGGGGCTGGGGTGCCATGTTTACATGTAGATCATGCTGCTGTCGAGCTTGGTAGTATGGTAGTAAGGGTTTGGTGCCATCTTGATCTTCGTGTGCATCGAGACGATAAAGGCTAGTCTCGTGATAGTTTGGACCTTGAACTGCACCAATAGCAGGATCTGTATTTATAGTGATAAATTTACTCTGAACAAAATGGTTTGATATTCCAACCCCTGTGTCAGGAAAATCTTGTATAATGTAGTTGTCCGGAGGATCAGGTTCCGGATGGTGCTTGATTAGCCTGGGACCTCTGAGATGCGAAAGAAAATGATTGTTTTTGCCAGGCTGAACCCTGAATGAATCATCAGTCTCTTCAAAGTCGGAATACTCCAGTTCAGGATCATCTTCATTGCGTGTCAACAAATGGACTTTTCCTGTCGCATCGCCAATGATCAGTTTGGAAAAGTCCGAAGAAAATGCGCCAGCACCAATCCCACCAGAGGCCGCTAGTAATTCGCGGACAAATGCTTTTCCGGGCGGTCTCTGAATGTTCCAGGCCTTAACTCTGCCATCAGAAGCACCGGTATAAAATCGGTCAGAAGTTTCTCCCCAAGCAGCAAACTTAACGCCGGTGTCTGCAAGTTCACGAGGAATATCATGGTAGGGGTTATCAAGCGATTCTTTGATTGATTAGCATGGTTAATTGTAAAAGGAAGTTTCGATCCTCACCTCCATGTGGAAGAACATGAATCGCATCGTCGTCAATTGCTCCAGTGTCCCACACGTAAGTATTGCCATCAGTACAGCTAGCCGTTACGTAGCACTGATGAAAGCTATTTGGCCTGTGAATATGTTAGTCGCTGCATCGAAGATCGAAAATGCCTACTTACATGACTGTTAATTCGTTGATATCCATGGCAGGGCAATCAAGAACTCTAATTGGATAGAAAGCGGTATAATTATCATTGTCGGTTCTTGCTGCAAATAATCTAACTTGTGTTTTTGCCTCGCTTTTGAAAGAACCGTAAGAAGAGGTTGCGGCGATGAAGCTTGGTTTGGTAGGATGCCAGACAACTTCAAACACATTCTGGGCACGAGCAGAAGCAATGGGAACCTTAGAACCATCAAAGGCATTCCACAAGCATAACTCTCCGCTATTTCTCTTGTCTTCTGGGATATCAACCTCATCATTGCTAAATGAACGAGGTGAGTAGCCAACCAATAAAAGGTTCGAAACACTGTCTGCTTTGCCCCATTGGACGGTAGCAGGGTAGTATGCCCACAAATTGTTATCGTGCAACTCACGGGCTTGCTCGGCCGCTTTCTCACCATTATACGTGTGGAAAGTCGATCCACTTATGTTGTCACTATTGAGGCGATAAATACGAACAGCGTCGTTGTAAACATCAGACGCTGTAGCCACAAGATCATGGTGCTCCGATGTTGTGACGAAATTGACTTTTCCTTCGTGCGCCCAGGTCCCCAATATATCCATTGACGATCCAGTGTCAGATGGCGACACCCTCCAAACCTTCACAGTCCCATCAAAGCTTGCGGTGAAAGTGAGGCCACTATTGTGGCTATGGGATATTGCCGAAATAGAAGTGTAAAGCCAAGGATCCTGAGTTTGCCTCATAGAGTGAAGAGCATTCTCAGCATTATCTCTCACATTCACAATTGGCCGTGCAATACGATGATCTGGCATTGCATCCAAGGTCTCTTTAGAAACAGAACCAACTACGAGATTACCTGGTTTGTTGTATTGCATATTGTGGCTATCAGAATGTGCAGTAGCACCACATACAAAAGCATCACTACTTGTCCAACTGATGGCCCAAATGTCACCGCAGCAATCTGTCCACTCAACCTTTCTTTGCAATGAGTCCTCAAGGGCAGAATTAATCTCTCGTACGTATGATTTATGACCACCACAGGATCGAACAGGGGCCATGCCGTGTACTTCACGTTGACCTAAAAGCGCAGAGAATTGTCTAGGAGACCTTTTAGGACCTACCATAAGGGTTCTTGAATTCATTGATACTTCGCCATTAGCGGCATCTCTGAGGAAAGCAGCCAATGATTCTTGTCCACGACTCTGAATAAGGCCATGGCTGGGATCCTCACAGGGGTGCGATATCAATAACGAGACTAATTCAGGTACTTCTAGCGTCTGCTTTTCCATGAGTAGTGCCATGCTTGGCTTCCCTCTCAGTTGTGTTTGCGCTTTCAAAACTTTGCGTACAATCGATAGTTCTTCCTCACAGAAGTCAATGTGGTAGACGCGCCCGAGAAGTACCTCTCTTTCTTGATCAGAGACGCGTTGGAGGCCACGGCGAATTCTCTCACGGCCCCTAGCATCGATATATGGCCGTGGCTGTCCATCTATAGTTTGATAGAAGGAATGTGTATCATGAGAAGATTTTGTATCCACTAGATCAAGAGTTGTCTCAACGTGCACAGTGTCGTTGTTAGCTTGCTTGAAGGTAGCAAAACTCCCTCTCTCTGTCTTGGGTAGAGAGCCGTTTTGCAGAAACTGAATGTCTTTTGAAGAAGAATCTAGCTCTTTTTGAATATGTTGAGTTCGAGATCGCGTGCCTCTTTTCGGAAGAGAAACACTGCTTGTTTTCTTGACTTTTCGTTCGTCCCCATGTGTGCTAGAAGCATCAACATTCTTGCTGAAGGATGTTGCTGGGCCCAGACTATATGCAACAAACTCGTCTACGTAATGCTTGACTTTCTCTGATATCACGATCTCATCTTCATGCGATACTTCATATCGATTGAGGTTTCCGAACATAGGACTGTCCACAAGTACACCAGCAACTGAAGTGCCAATCTCGTGGAGTTTCTTTGGGTCTATTGTTTGCTTGTGGCGCACCATCGCAGCATTGATGTGAATGAACACCTGATCATGGATCGTCTCCGAGAACCTATCATTGGCCTGTGAAGATACAGAAGTAGGTTGAGAGATGGGGGATTTCGAAGACTCGCTGATGCTTGAGGTGGCTCGTTTAGGAGGTAGTATAGCTGGCATCGAAGCCCGTCGGGGTGTAAATTCTTCGATATCCCGAGTGTGTCTGTTGTAGTGCTGAGTGGAGTCCTGCACCGTTGTCCCTCTCGTCGACCGTCTAACTTTGGGGGCATTTTCAATCGTAGGGTGCATCTCTTTAAAAGAAATATTTTGTTCGAGTTGCCCGTTGGGATGTTGAGCGAAGTCCTGGCCAGCCATTCCCCTCTCTGTCCACCGTCTGGGGGCTACATTTTCGATTGTGGGCTGCAAACCCTGACTTGAGCTAATCTCTTCTGGAGCCCTCAAAATCCGCCTTCTCTTCGGAGCATGTTCTATTTCAGAGTGTGGCTCTTGGTTAGACCGCGTGCTACTGTCTTTGTTCCCTTCCTGATCTCGTCTTTTTATCGCGGATGTATTGGAGGACAGTGCTATATCTCTAGGTTGAGTAGTTCTAGTTGCGACAGTAGCGCCTGGTAGTATCGGCGCATAAGTGAATCCATTAGGGGTAGGCATTGAAGCTCCTTTTGACTCTAGATTCTTTGGTAATATTGGCGCAAAGTGATGGTCTGATTGAGAGTTTATATATGATCGCGAATTTCCAGTTGAAGGCGCTGGAAATGACCCAGGAATTATCAGGCCATGATTTGACGGCAGCAGAAAAGGCGCATTCGGGATTTCCTCGTCGTCTCCTGTCAAATCGATCACCAAGGGGCTAATATTTCATAAGTCGCGTGTGCGAAGTTGAAAGGAAATATTGACTTACGCTTGTCGCGTCATGGGAGCCGGTGCCATGGAGCAAGAATCAAGACGCGGTCCGCAGGGAAATACCGAGGTCCCATAATATGCGGCAGGAGCAAAAGAGATTCGTGGAATTTAAGAGTTGAATTCGAATTCAAGGGTGTTTGCAGATGTACATGGAATAATAGGGCTGAGAATCATAACACTGATGTTAGCCAATGCCTTATCGTTATCGACAAATGCATCTAGAAAGAGAAAGGAATCACCGAATGCGGGGATCACCTGATCTTGACGAGATATAGCCTTGCTCTTATAAATGCAAGGCTGACACTTCACCAATTTCACTACCAACTGTTGTATCATCTACCAGGTTATTCATGCCTTCTAGCCAGCTTGGCATTGTTATAAAAGTTTGTCTTTGGTGATGTTGCAATAGCATATTAGATACAACTAAGTGTTGACGCAAACTTAAGTCTTCGCACGAGGGTGCTTCTTGGCTTGGCTTTACGGATTTCTGAGAAATACAAATTTGCCAACACAGATAAACGGAAGCGAGACAATCATGACTGACCGTTCTTCCGGAGCTACCTATACCTTCAGGCTTGGGGACAGAAGTCGGAGGTGTTTGTATAGCACCAAGAACTAGAAACATTGACACTTTTATAGATTTCACAGTATTACATCACCAATCAAAGCCTGTGGGCCAGAGATATCAATCACAGAATCTCATCATAATAGTCCTATCGCATTGACATCTAATAGTAGAAAGCTCTAATATCTGAAGGGTTGTTCTAGATTACAAAGCCAAGGAGCGTATCCAACTTTCCTTATTCGCGTATATGGTTGATGATATGGATGCTAGGTAGATTCTTTAGGCTGGAACTTCAACCTCCTTGCTGATATCCAACTCCTCATGTCTTCGGAGATCCATTGGCTTTCCCAAGAGTGGAACGACGTATGGGTCGAAAGTTTTCCAGTATGGGTTCTCGAGGTGGTACTTTTGACTCTGCAATGACAAAATTAGTATCATGTTGATAGAGACATGGCATAAGGGACTAAGCTGCACATACACTTTCTTGTTCGAATCTCTCTACAATGGTGAATGCTCTAGGGTCGTGGACATCTTGCATGACAATCCAGTCAACGGTTTCCTTGTCCTGTTTGTAGACTCGGGATGCTTCAATGAGCTTGGCCTTGATGCGGGGTATAGATTCTGGGTTCTCGTTGGCATAGAGATGAACGGTCAAGGTGTAAACCATTTTGGAGATATTGCTTTGTCAGGGCTGTTATGAGCGGTTGACAGTGTATAGCTTGTGAATGTTTTGAGGTCAATAGTCAAGTTGTTAGTTTGTAAAGTTAAGACTTCTTGGGAGGGAAAGAGAAGTTTTGGAGGGGCTGCATTAGGCTTGAGCTTGTAGCTTAAATGTGGAACAAGAGAGGAAGGGCCGATGAATGGAACACCAAAATCGAATATATACTTTGAACAAAGTATGTGTATCCACCAAAGAGACGTCAATCCGAATACTTGTTGCTTTCCCAAATAAAGATTCAGTATCAATCACGATTCACCCAAGCTTTGAGAAAGCCTCATGCGATGTTTCACAAAACATTCACACTTTCAAAGTCCCATGAGCCAAACCACTATAATCGTGATATCACGTGACGTCACAGAACTTTTTATTCATCGTCATTACTGCCGTTGATACTCCGTAGGGTAGGGCGTGCCAAATTAATTTAAATCTCCTAGTACCGTTTTACCGTTACTTTACGTCACATACTCATATAATTTACAAAATCCCAAATGTAAAATCCTATCTACTTCTCAGACGAGTACTCAAAAGTTACGTAGATATCTGAACAATAGTGAGGTTATTAATATGAAGTCCAATACTTCTCAAGTACCAGAACTTCCTGGATACTATTACGGTACATCAACCTCATCTAAACATCGCAATATTGATTGACTCGCAATTTACTGAAATTTTGTTTAGATAGCGAAAAGAAAAAGTATTTCAAGATACAGGCAAATGCACCATCAGGTTCTGCATATTCATCTCACGACGTGAAGAGACGTAAGCTTGATGACGAGAATAACAAAGCTGAATCTTTAAGGGTTCAGCGGAATGTTGGCCGTATCAAAAGAGCAAAGATTCTGGAGTCTCCTATGGCTGGTGGCTTTTTATCTAGAGAATTCGGACAGCTTTGCTTGGACACTGCTGCTGCCTCCTATTATGCTCAAAGTCTCTCCACAGCGTTTGCGGTTGATTATTACCCACAGGACAACCGAGCAAGCGGCGCCTACCTTTTCGACGTGAGTGGGTATACTAATGCGTCTGATCCCAAAGTTCTTATGTCTTATGGTACGTTTACCTAACTAGTATTCAATGTTTCAATTCGTATTCAAGAACCGAATGGTCGTTCAAAATTGAATCCTTTCTCTCAGATGTCCTAAGCCAATTTTGATAGGCAAACTATTATTCTGGCATGCGCTGTAATTCGTTCATCATGCAGAGCTAATACGATTTCATCCATGATTTATTCATTCACTGACAATCGCTAAGCTGCCAATAATACCATCCTACACCTATCATACGACTATGGAAAGAAAGCAAAAGACAAAACACGAGTACCTAATGTGTTCGGATCTCATTTTAGATTTCAGAGATCCTACAATCTGGGGTTTCCACCGGGCCAGTCCACTTCTATCAGTGCTAATGAGTCAATTGGGCACGTTGTAACGACATGGTCAGGTGTACCTGCCTCCAGAGCAATCGTAGTTAGTCCCTTTCCCCCACCTGAACTTCGACGTAAGTTATTCCATAATTGTTTGCGTGCGTACAGATTGAAAGGCCAATCTATTCATTACTCTGTTCTGCTCATTCAGCCTCTATTCCTAATATGTAGATTGTGTGTGGACACGGTTAACATGACCTCAGCTCATCCTATGAAATCCGACATCCACCTCAGTCCTGGGACCAAGCGAGGTCCGGTCGATGTCTTATCATCCGCCTCAGCACCTGCAAGTTCTCCGGATTCATTTGTCGTTGGTACGAGCAAAGGCATCCTTCGGATCAATCAAAATATGGATATGTCCTGGATTCAGACCCTCAACACAAAGGACCAGTATTACAGCGATGTATTCGCAGTGCAGTATCAGTCAAATCACCAGGATATCCTCCTAACGGGTGAACGAAGAGGTATCCTCAGTCTCTTAGATCTCCGAACATCCCAATCTGGGCCCATAGCAAAGATTCAACACACAAGCGGCATCGCGGAAATCAAGTCTCTCGACGAATACCGCGTCCTTGTGGCAGGGTGTGCATCCGATCTTTGCCAGTACGATAGACGATTTACCAAGCCAAACACTCACCTCACACACACATTAAAACACACCAAGAACACTACAGCTCCTACAACACCCTATCTAAATTATCCCGATTACCGAAACAACGGACGGCTGAACATTGGACTAGACGTTGACCTTGAGCTTGGCATTATCGCAGCTGCAGATGACGTTTCGACAACAGCCGCCGAAGCAAGAATCAAGATCTTCTCTCTACATGGAGCGCAAGTTTTACACGAACACATGATTCCAACAGATGTTCCCAATATGGGTTGTGTAAAGTTTGTACAGGATACGTTCCACGAACCCAAAAGTATCTGGGCAACCTTTGCACAGAAGATCGTGCGGCTCTCGCTTGATGATAATCATAACATCCCATCGTTCAAAGCGAGCACTACGTGGCTCTCCTGAGTATAATGCCTTTCAGAACGTGCTCATGAGATACACGCGTGCAGAGAAAGACGAGTAATGGAACATCCGGAAAATAACACGGTGTTCTGGATATACGTATACGGAGTTTCGGGAGTCGCGGAACGCATCGGTCCCTTCGCGAAAGAATCACATATGGAGTTCTGCTACTTTATCTAGGTATTCAATCTTTGGTCCGCATTATGTATATATGCGACATATCACACGGAGTTGCGGGAGCTTCGGGATTTCGGGAGTTGTTACTGATTACTTACTTGGAGGATGAAGGTCTCGAAGGAATACGGAGTTCTTTCTATTATTCCACATCCATACATGTTTCTTTCACAATCTGTATATCACTCATATCCCCATTCCTTATTTCCTCATCTCTAAGGTGTAGCGAGGAGTGAGGATGGGCAGTCAATAATTAACAATAGTAGGCGTTTATACGCTGGCGCAATCTTGAGATGCCCGCCTGGACTTGATAACAGTACATAATTCTGTATGCACCCCGCTTTAGAAGGGCTCCTATGACATGACTTCTATTACTAGAGCCCTGTAACTACTTCCCACTTGTGACGGTCACAAATCGAAACTTCGACGAAAAATGCAAATACCTTTCGATATTTTAGTAGTGGCTGCAATCTTTCAAACACCATAGCACGTACGAAGAACGGGATAAATACAATACACTCAAATTAAACATATGCATCAAATGACATATTTCCTTACGAACATGACAATTTTAAGTTTGTGAGAATTTTTTAATCATTACTGTTACGCCCTTTTATTTCCATGGTTGTGCATGAAATGCTGTACCTAGTCTCCGTGTCCAATGTATGATAACCATAACCGGTCCCAACCATCGTGATATCTTTAACTTTCCATATTACTTTCCACATCACTATCTGCCTCTTCTCTCTTTCTTGTCCCGCGTACACACCAAACGTCCATTCTCTAACGCAAACTACCTTCCTCCACAGACGCTTGTCGTAGCCATTAAACAAAAGCTTGAGTTGATCCAAGTCTCTACATTCCTCCTATTCGTGTTCCTATACACTGTTTCTTATGTCATTTATGTTCCTGCACAAGAATTTAAAGTTCAAGAACTTGACATCATCCGATCTTTCCAACATAGATGATCAATGCCAAGAATATAACTTAAGGGGCGGAGCCTCGCTTGTCCCATATCGTTCAGTTTTACAAAATAAATGTTAGTATTCGGAATTATTGAAGACGCTTTCTTTTGCGATCTTCTTCCCTGAGCATCTCTTCCTCGTGTTCTTCTGCGCGTTCCGCAGTTTCAGCTGGATTCAAGATATGTGCCATACTTCCTCGCCGAGTAGGGGGCCCTGAATTATCTCTGAAGAGACCTGGTCTTTCTCTCTCCTTAGATCCGCTCCAGGACCAGCTATTAAGATGCTCTGCCGCATTTCCGTTGGTGTATGGAGGAGTTGTTGGGCGAGATATGCTGTGGCCATGCGTTGCTCCGGCGAGTGAGTACATGCTAAAACTATCGCGAATTCGTTGGTCCTCGTTGGCCATGTGCGTTGCTGTTCTCTTGGGAGATGACGGATAGTGTGACGACGATTGACCTGACGCGAAAGGGGATGAAGTAGGTTGCCATCCGACTACGTTACGAATATCAGCAGAAGTGTGGCGGCGTGACAAATTAGACGGTGGTGATGACGCGTTAGCGAGTGGGTGCGGGTGCGGGTGGTGGCGCTTGGGCTCTCAGTGAACTTGGTGAGGATTGTCCCGTACCTGTACCTCCAATCGAGCCGTACCCTCTGCGAGCAGAGAGAGACAAATGCGATGGAATAGGAGGTCGATGGAAATTGCGAGGTGGAACCCCAAGGAATGACGAACGACGAGGGTCGTCTTGGGGTACTTGGCGAGGTGATGGGGGATTGTCCATTTGCAAATTCGAGAAATATGGTCGACTACTTGAGGCGGGGGGTTCGCCCACTTCTTCCATGCCTCTGATGGTTCCCATGTGTCGCTGGATCTCGTCTTGCAGGGCAGCAACTATAATGTGTCAACAATCAAGGAAGTGGCTTGGTTGTCACGGAATACATACCGTCGCGATGTACACCTGAATCTGGACCAGATAAAGAGGCTATCATCCTAGATAGCTCATAATTCATCTATGCAAGATTAGTCATGGCTCCTTCTCGTTTCAGTGCTGTTGGTAGTTACGTGTAGGACACGAGTCAGAATATCCATCATACCCTGATGTCTGACGTGGAAAAACTGTTGATTATCGGCTTCTCTCGCCTGTTTAGCATGCATCTCAAAAAGACCATGTTCCAATTGTATCAGTCTAGACTCCGTTGATTCCTGAATTGGTTGAATTGGTTCGCCTGGAGTTCCGGGTTGCGAAAGCGGTGGTTTGGGGGCAGAGTATGAATCTCGATGAACGAGAGATTGTCGCGAGGCCCGTCGTCTGATCTCCCTCAACCCGACGACATCTCCGCGCTTGAAGCTATTCTGTCCATGTTTGAATTCCCACAGCGGCGTTTCCGGCGCATTTTGATGGAAGACATCACTGACTGAATTTCTATTAGCGAAAATAACCGATAACTGGTATGGATAACTAACCTTTGTGAAATCCGTACATATTCAGCTGGCGTACAAAAGAGGAAATGTTGGTATGTTTGAAATATTGTCTACAACCCATGAGCAAGTGATACAGCCCGAAGTGCGTTTACTTACGAAAGGACTTTTGAGAAATCGCTAGATGGTGACATAACGAAGCTGTCCTGGGTAGCGGACCAGGAGATAAGATGTCGAATATTAACATCTTCCAACATACTGGTACACAATCAGTACTTGTAGACTAAGAATAGCTTCTCTTGAGCTCCAACCTGTATAATTTGTGAATAAATGCAGTTTGCACTACTTTTGGCTGAATTCCTCCTCCAGCCGCAGCTGCGGCAGCTGCACTAGGAGTCGCCAAGCTACCTGAGCTGGGTTGATCTTCCACCATCATGTGTTCTGGAATGCTGTTTGCTTCGTGGTCGGGACTTGTTCTCGAAGGAGGTCCCATTACCGCGCTACCGGGGGGCGTAACATCCATTGCGTCGCCAGATGGAGCGGGGGTTTGTAGAGTGGGTTGTTGAATGATTGGAACTGTTCGAGCAGGAATTTGGCCTAGACTGGGGCCATTGATGTAGGAGTGCTGTTGCGCTCGATCATCCATCACGTCCATCTTCGCAATATCTGAGTACTGCAATGTACCTCAATCTTTTGTGTAATTAATGAGGGTCGAGCTTCTAGACACGTCGTGCTTGATTAAAACCAGAACGTCAAGGCGGCGCAAATGAAATGCGAAAGGGGGAAGACACACCTCATCGCATGCGAAAGTTAAGGGAGCTCTGAACTGCCAGAAATTCAGATGATGATGTTGAGAATGGCTTCTTTGTCCGATGCTACTTGCTATCCTGCAACTTCCCGAGACACCTCAGCCTCGCTGCACGCTAAGATGGTAGCAAATGGCAGGAGATATGATATACGATGATATGCGAGTCTTATCAAAAGAATGTTGAGTAGCGATGGTAATTAATTCAGATGTTATCAAGTTGATGTTTGGAAGTTTGTGGGTGAACTATTATCTCCTCTGGTGAGCTGTGAAGTAGTAGGGAGGTCCTTCGAACAAGTGCCGATTACAGATAATGATATCCGAACTTTAATGTGAAGAGACTGCTTAGTTAGATGAGACTTTACTCAAATCTGGAATCAATTGAAGGGGACTATTAGAGTGAGGATGGTAATTTAAAGAAGATATAAAAAAAAAATTAGAAATCAAATCAAATACTACAATAGAAAGCCGGATGAGGGTACGGATGGTATTTCACACACAGTACGTTGGGATGTGAATAATAATAAATGTTAGTTATAAGAAGTGTAACAAATGTGAATGTCAAATGTCATTTGTAGATCTGGTACCAGTAGAGTAGGTGTGGATGTGGATGTGGATGTGGATGGTAAAGAACATTGATGAATGATGTTTATTATTAACCAGGATAAGCTATACCGGATATGAAAGAAAAGCCCCGCTGGGAATTAATAAAAAAATTGTTTCGTTCCCCGATCTCGTCTTGGGTTATTCTAGGTATTAAATTGAATGAATTGGGTGAGAACTAGTCATTTTGTAGTAATAAATGTTGTAACAAATACCTGCTAGGTACTATATATAACCTTATATTACTACTTTGTATATTCTGTAAATAAAAAAAACAAAAAGCAAAGTTTGATCAATTCGACAAATTCGACAAATTTGTTAAATCTCGAGAACCTCAAGGTTTATTACCACCCTGAATATTGGGAAAAATAAAAAAAGGGGGGAGGGGAGAAGAGGAACCTCGGTCAAAAGATTCAATTGCCATAGGAAAAATGTAGATATATACGGAGGATGTGTACAATTTTTGATATGCTGTATGTTGAATTGGCCATGATACGTACCGTGTCCAATGTTCAATGTTCAATGTTCAACGTGCGAAATGCATATGGTGACGGGTGACGGGTGACGGGTGACGGGTGACGGGTTATCATCTTTTCTCTTGGGATCGATCTATCATTCATTCCATCGCATGAACATGCACAGAATTTTCTTTCTTTCTTTCTTTCTTTCTTTCTTTCTAGAAGCATACAAACACCATCGAATGCTACATCGTACAGTACATGGAAGCAGGAAAGAAGGAAGAGGAAGAGGATGCGGCGGCTATGGTAGCTAAACGTTAAGAGCACGGATGAATAAGGGGGCTCGGGGGCTGTTCTTCCTAGACTTGCATCGATTTCTCTACATGGACTTCTTGGTGCGCACGCATAGAAAATACGGAATATGTGGATACGGTGGGAAAATATGGAGACGGCTGACGGAGGATGGATCTTAACAATACTAGCAATACATACTAGCACCACGCTCTCCTTCCGTAAGGACTCAGGAGTGCGTGAGTAGCGTGAGATGGCGTGGTGGATAGGAATTCCAATCCCGGACTTGCTTGTTTTCATGGATGAATGAATGGATGGTGGAAAGACAAATAGGGGGATCCAAATTCTAATCCTTCAACTTTCTGGCCCCCAAAGTATAATCGACGAGTCTACGCAGGATACGATACCTCGACCTTTCCAATAAGATCTTACGAATATACTCATGACTGTGACTGGAGTTTGCCGTGTTGAGTGTTGAGTGCTGAATGCTGAGTGCTGAGTGCTGAGTGCGTGTGTTCCTACAACACACCACACATCCATCCTTCCACACTTGCAATCTGGACAAATTAACCTTCGCGATCGGTTCGTCCTACACTCCAATCCCGAATAGCGCATTGGTCATGAAACAGCTTGGGCATCACAAGCACGGTCATCATAACGATTCCTGGAGACTAATACATGTTTTACCAAAGTACATCTTACTCGCAATGAGATTTCAATATAACTCTAAAGAACGGCTGGCAGGTCATCTGTGGTCATCTGGATTGCCCAGACCTCAAAGCTTAATAGAGTTCAGACCAACAGGTCTCATATTATGTTCGACGCGCCGCAATTAGAACAAAATGAATTTCATTCCAAGTATCAACTCGGTCACATGTGTGAAACGATATGACTAGATAGGTACTTTACATGTCGTGCTAAAGCTTCTGCAGGTCCAGATAAAGGCTCCGAATGAGATCGATACCTGTGAAAGGACCTTTCTCACATACCGTACCATGTGAACTAATATGTAAGCCTGCACATTCTCAATCACTCAAGATCAGAGATAGAGTATATCTGTCGGAAGTATCAGGAGCCGTGTTCAAATCTCGATCAATTGTGTAACATCTCTCTGGTGCGGTAATATATGGAGAGTGCTTCTCCCGTCATCAATTCATTCGTAACAGGAAGTAATGTTTCTGCCATTCTCGTTGGTTGCGTGGTTTGATTCAGCTGGTTTTTGATATTACATGTACTTGACATATACAGTGCTCGTCCAACAGCCCCTGGCATGACGGTGATACTGGATTTGATTTGAACGACCGCCCTGAAGTGTGAAAAGGGGCTGGCTATGCGTCAAACATTGGTCGAAACATAATAGTGAACGTGATATAGATTGAAGTACCAACCTTGGAATACCTTGAAAACATTAATAAGTTAGTCACTTCAAGAGCTCTTGATCCTGTCGCTCAATATTGGGAAATCTCAATTTGAAGATATTACCTAATATCATAGTATATCCTCAACTCAAACATCCCCAACTTGCTGTAGCTTGGTATGCGTACACCTAGAAATAATAAGATGTCAAGACGTACATACCTACATAGCTGGAGTGTTCGATTATCCGTTTCCAGCGAAATGCCAACCTTGGAAGTTGATGGTCTCGGAATCAACTGTGGCTGTGATGCTGTTGTGGCTGTCAGGAACTGCCAACGCCACCAGTGTAGTCTAACACGTGATCTACACCATCTTATCGTCACTGATTGCTATAGGTACCTCATTGGTATGATTATCTAGCTAGCTAATGGATAATGGTCTAAAATTTCTTCTCAATTGAAGTCCATGAATTTCTGGTTTTTCTAGTTCTTCCAGTTCTTATGTGTCAATTACACTATTCATATGCTGTGGGAAGCATTTGGACTTTCAAGACACTTGATGCTTGAGTCTTCTTGGATATTCAATATATTCCAGACACACAAGCAGTCTGGTACACCTGTTGATTTATATAGCATACCACTGTATTGAATACGAACCTTTCTTAATCAGACCATCTTAAATCTCCTCGGTTCAACACTCTATCATGGCAAATAAATTGAGCCAGGCCCTCGACGGCATGAAACTCGAAGATGGCCGGCCAGATACCCAGTTGCGCACATCAGCGTAAGTCAAGCAATTTGTTACTGTACCATCAATACAAGTGGGTAATCCGGTCAGGTGATAGGGATCATGAAATTCATATCATTTGGAGATGTCCTCGAAAGGATATGTATGCTCATATTTTCATAGAATTCAACATCTCCTCAATAGCTCAACCTTGACATTTGGAGAAATGCGATTATTCAAAGCGCATTTTGGTCGAATCAATTTTCATCATGATGGCATCGCTCAATTACCAGAAGAAATTCTTGCGCTTGTCATGGAGTATCTCGATCTCAAGGACTTCATGTCTATGCGTTGCGTTTCGAGGAACTGGAGAGAGAAATTGTCCAGCGAAAAGCTTTGCGCGTCACTACTCAAGATACACTTTCGTAAGACTTGGGAGATCAAATTTAAGTCATTGGGAGACAGCGACAGGCAGCTAAAGCTTGATGATTTCCTTAGCATGTGTATAGGACGACTTAAGAGAGACCGTGGCATGTATTATCAAGTAATGCACTATGATTATTTATCAGACCCAAACGAAGACAGGTTCTATTCAAATTGGTGCCACGAAGATTGTTATAGAAAAAGGTTTCAATACAAAAACGGAAGAATAGCAATGAAAAAAGATCCTAGCACCATTCAAGTAAATGATCTCCGGACACATGCTTCAAGACGCTATATGCATGAGTTTCGATATAGCTTCGATTATTGGTTACTCTCAGATCAAATTCTCGTAGCCTATTTTGATAGTCCGTAAGTCAATGATCCCCTTCAAGAGTCATATCGGCAAACCTTACAGGCTTTGTATGTACGGGAAAATGTTGAGAGGATCATACTGAAAGCCTTGTGTACAGAAAACCGCGATTCAACGTATGGCAGCTTGATGAAGAAGATGACCCGAGAGTTATTCATCTGGACCGTCGTTACGAGATATTGGCCGCCCACAACAAAGAAATTGCTCTCGGTGTCAAGAGTCCTTCATCGAACTGCCCTGTTTACATCTGGAATGATGGCCGCATCAAAAAGCTTGCCGATCCAGATTTTGGCGATTTGTATCCAAATCATGAGATTAAGTTTTGCGAAATCTTCTTCCACCCCACTCAAGAAAATCATCATTTCTTATTTTATCATGCCTCTTGCTTACCCTTGGGTGGAACTCTACGCGAAACCGGAAGCGATTTAATAATCGTACAAGAGTATGTCGGAGGAGTACCACAAGGGCAGCGGAATGAAGTGCTTGGATCATGCTTCGAGATAACTATGCTCAAGTTTCGATTCATTAGCGACGATGGCGTTGTTGCACTTCTATCGCGAATGTATCGCTCGCCGGAAAGGAGAGCTTCCACTCAAAGATCCCCTTGTAACCATGATATATCATCAGCTACAAAGGCTGCTGCTTACCCCCTCATGACCTTCAATCTCTTGACCCAAAAGTTTGAAACCATTTCAACTCACCTCGAGTCGTTTCTGGAAAAATTCCCTACCCCTTTAAACCCGTTATTTTGGCGTGGCCAGGCTACCATTCCATACGATAGTAGAAACGGCGATGCTTACTCCGAATTTTGTAAGCCCAACCCAGAAAAGATGCCTTATTATCTAGTATCCGCAAGTATCTGCGATGCGACGAAGAGAAATCTTCAATGTGTGGGAAAGCACAAGTTTACTCCAGAAAGTGGTTTGAGCGCTCTGGTCGCCTTTTGTTTGCCCATCGACATACAAGCGACTACATCGAACAACGAATTTAATAAGGGTGCTGTATGGGGCGATGATGACTTTATAATCTATAGTCATCGCGAAGGGTATATTGTATGGAGTTTTAACCAAAGAAACACTTTACCCACAGGTTTGGCAAACTCCCCTCCCTCCGGACTCCTCGGCCAAAGGAGAATCGTCCCAAACAGTATCGAGGTGAAATAGGAACAATATTTTGCCAGTTTACCAATGATGAGGAGAATTACAGTGAAAATATATCTTCAGCAATTATCCGTGGAAGGAAATGAACAAGGCAGGAGGATTTGATCACAAATCCTGATTTATGGAAAGTGATATTCGTCTTCGCTTTTTGTATGATGTTTACAATAGTAACATCCATAATTACAATAATAATAACAATCCACCAGATAACTCTCTTCCTCATTACCACCCCCCCTCAAAATATATGAATCAAAACACACTGTATATTTCAAGTTCGGTTGCAGCAAAACAAGCTAAAAACCCAATATAAACCCTCCAGGTGTGGCAGAACAGGTAGAAAATACATATCTAGTATCTAGTAGGTACCTAATCCATCAACTTCGGGACTTCAATACCCTCATGAGAGTATACCAATTTCATTTTCACTTCCACTTCCACTTCCACTTCCCTCACAAAACAAAACACAACACAACATAACACGACTCCTCGAATCGCAAACTCGATCTCTCAAATTTTCCTTTATCTTATTTGAGAAGGAATTGATTTGGAAATGGAAGATTTGTTTATTTGTCACTCGGTGTAGAGTATTGTATCGATTTGCTTCCCGTTGTAGTTTATTGCATTCCAATCTGTCCTTTCCTGCGCTGTTTATCACGAGAGAGGAGAGGAGAGAAGACTTGAGGTTGATTGGAGAATATAGGTGTACTCCGACATGGAGACTTAAGAGTTGTATTTATGTATGATCATTTTGAGAGTGGATTGAGATACTGGGGTATTTATGATAGATCATAACGATATGGAAAAGAGGGGGGGGGGGGGGGGGGATTGGTGTAACCAAAGGGATTGTGCACATTTTATTGAGGGAAAAAATAATATATGTATATTTGTCTTGTACTCATCTTGATCTTGGTCTTCATATTTCTTGACCGTTCCCCTTTGTTCCCATCTCAATCTTCAATTTCTCATTCTCAAGTTCCTTCCACACTGTTCCCTCCTCTCCCTAGAGGCTCAAACACCCACCTCCTTCAAACTCTTCACCAAATCTACAATACTTTCCTCCAATCCCCTAAGCTCGATCCCTAACACACTTCTCGTCCTCCCATTATCAAACTTATAAACTCCTCCTTCCGGATAATCACCCCCCTTAACCTCCTTCCCCGGCAACTCGTTCTCATACTCCGAGAAATTCTTCCGAATAATCTCACAAATCTCTTTATTACTAAAATACCCTTGCGTGATGAAAAATCTCTTGCTCGCCGCCTCCGGAATCTCAATCGCTTTCACATGAGCCAATGCCAAATCCCTCACATCGACCCAGATGAATGTTCCCGTGTCTGGTATTTCCTCTTTACATTTCCCTTGCAGGAGATTGCGCACGCGCTGATTAGACGTGTTTAACGCATCTAGAGAATTCAGGTAATGCACAATGGGACCTAGTACTAAAGGAGGATTCATGGTGCTAAGTGTGAAATTGGGTTTCTCTTTCTCGACGAATTCCCACGCAGCTTTTTCGGCAAAGGTTTTGGAGGCACGGTAACCGTTGGATGGGGTTTCAACCGCTTCTGAGAGGGTGATGGGATTCCAGTCTTCTTCGGTGTATGTGTGATCGGGCCAGTTTCCCTTCGAGGCATCGAGAACAGCGGCGAAGGAAGAGGTTACCACGACGCGGGTTACAGAAGGGGCAAACTTTTTGATAGCGTGAAGGATCGCGGTTGTACCGATTATGGCGGGATCGAGAAGATCTTTCTTGGTGTCGGTCACGTTGAAGTGGAACTTCAGGTTGTGTCAGTATGCCTTTCTCTTCAACGACATCGCATTCGCATGTAATCATTTCGCCACCATAAACTCTCATTCTCATTCCTAAAAATTGAAAATACAAACATACCGGACTAGCCGTATGCAACACAGCCTCCAATCCCTCCCCGAACTTCTTCAAGCAATCGTCAAAAGCATTTTCCTTTGCAATATTTTCGACGATGAAGAAATCTAATTTGGAAGCAGGAACATCTGGATGAGCGGCTTTAATAGCATCAATTTTTTGCTGAGAACGGACGGTTGTGATGACAGTGTGACCGCGGGAGAGAAGAATATCGAGGATGTGAGCGGCGATGAAACCGGAACCACCTAAAAGAAGGGAAATATGTTAGTTGTCTGGTTTGATGCGATCTGTGCTGGGGGGATAGGGAAAGAAAGATGAGGAGATGAGAGGAGATGGAGAATGGAGAATAGCTCACAGATTGGAGGAAGAGAGTATATCTGAAACTTCAAATATTCATCTCTCTCCAATCCTCCAAACCTCCCCCCCTCAAACACAAAGTCCCAAGTCCCAACCAAACACATCCCCAACAATACGGTATCGCCACCTCATCCCATCCTCCGGCCCCAAATCCAAACCCACAAAAGACAAAAAGATACCATATCAAGAAGGCAGATAGACACATACCCGTAAGTAAAACCCTCATATTTTCCAAACAAAACTTAAAAGATCTATAATTTTTTTTATCTTTTCTTGGTATTCCGCAATTCTTCAGTCGAACAAACAATCAATCCTTCAACTTAAATTAAACAAAACAAGCCAAACCCAACTGCGGGGTCCGATGACGTTTATATAGATATCTAGTGTCCACGAGCCACCCCACCACCCACCACCCCCACGTTCAAATTCATCCCTTCCCTTCCCTTCCCAAGGTTCTCACCCCTTCCTCCACAATTTCAGATTATCAATCACGACCTCGACCTCCTGACGGAATTTAGCTTCGCTCTTAATCGGAGTTTGCGGTGTCGTGCTCACGGTGGGGTAGCATGCCATGTCGCGTTAATATCCATATCCGAGGTGAATACATAGAGATCAACAATGTCACTAATACATGAAAAAATCTCATTCTCAATGGTAGTAAGCAGAGATACGCATTAAATCATTCATATACCTGATTTATCTACCTAGGTATTTTCCAGCTCCCTTATCTCAGCCCATCTTATCTCATCTCATCTTTACCCACTGTTTGTACAGATGGAACTTAAAATGCCATCTATGTTGCCATGAATGAGCTCTCCAAAGCAGATTCTCCATATGAAAAAGGCGAATTTGTGCAAGGAAAATGTAATATGGTATCAACGCTCACAAGATTACTTTTGAAATCTCGCGTGTTGCTACCATGGCCATATCCTCAACGCCGGCGCTCAAAGATATCAGAAGAGAGGCAATATTAAGGGGAAAAAAAGAAAATCAGAACAAAAAGCAAAATATCATGTCATCCTTCTCCAACACCCCGCCCGATCCTATCATTATTTTCTCCGGTAAACTCTGTGTAAATCTTTACAGATAATCATTATTGTTGAAAAGCATGTCCTGACTTGCCTCTCCCGATAGTTTTGAAACTGCCTCCTGATTCCATAATATCAAAACGGCTTGCACCCATAGCTTCAAGATCCGTCATTCCCGAGAACCAGAAGCCGACAATGACAACTAGATAACTAAGAAGAAGAATAGAACCTTTGAAATAGTTGCTCTTTCCCTCACCATACATGTAACTTAGCAAGAATACACAAAGGATGACCGTCACCATATCCCACTGTGGAAAAATGAGGCTGAAAGATTTATCGACGAGTTCGGATCCTTCTAACCATTGGCCATTGATGGCACTAAACAAAACCAGAGCCGGAATCTGTAGTAGACACACTTGGAGTGCATAAGCAGATCCGATCTCCATAGACAAAGCGATGTTGCCATTCATCGCAAATGAAATGGCGTTCTAGACAATTCATGTTAGCTTTTTGCACACAAGATTGAGAGTCGAGGTACTTACAAGAAACTCGGTTGTATTCGGAACAAGTGCGAATAATGTGATACCGAGGAACTTCTCGTCAATTGCTACATTTGAAAGAACGACATCGACTGTATTGACTAGGATCTCTGCAATAAGAGCATAAAGAACAGTAGCACCACACAAAATCACCGAACTCTTCATTCGGCTCCAATTTGGCGCATCATGACCACCACTTGTAGCATGGGCCTCTGCGTTAACAGCCTCTTCAGGCTCCGTATGCACAGCGGTTGTTCTCAAAGGAGGCAGCTTGTGCGCGTGAGTAGTAGATGCCTTTCGATGAGGTGGTCGGGCTGCATCTCGAGCAGCAATTGTAGCAGCGGTTGCAGCCATTTCAGCTACTTCGCGAACAAATGTCGTATTTTGAGCCTCAGTAAATCCCGGTATTTGAAAATCAGATTTTGTACTGTCTCCTGCAGCGCTCTTGGGTGGAACTAAATGAGGTGTCTGTACTGAACCATTCTGATTAACGTCTTCGGGAGTGCAATCCTTAGGGTTGATGCCGGCTTGCTTTAAGGACTGGCCAAGGATGCGTTTATATAGTTGAGAGTCCCGAATTTCATTTCCACCAGAATCGGAAGCAGCCTGAGCGTGTCTTTGCGCGCGGGTTTGTGGGGCGCCAACTGAAGGTTGTTGGATATTAGTAGTATTGACTTCCGGCTTTTGCTTATCTTCTGATTCATTATTCCATATGACAGCCGCATGAGTTCGAAGAGTAAACCATAGTCCAATGACATACGAAAGGAATAAAAGCACGGCGGCAAACCAGCAGTATGGGCGGACAGCTTCCAGGTAAAATCTGTCGTTCAATGCCGGCGATTGTGAAAAATAACAACGACGGCAATCACGACTTGTTGACTCATACGTGTCAGTGCATGAGAGACAATTGAGTTCGTGCTGAGTGAGCATAGTGGTTAGCGAGGGGCCCATGGCTACGAAGATATTCATTAACTTACGGTTCCGTATATTTGATAGAACAGAGTAGGACCAAATGCGGCAATGACAGCAAACAGTAGCATCGTCGAAGTCACACCAGCAGACTTAACATTGAAACGTTGAGTTTTCCTCTTGATGGCACCAAAACACATGGATAAACCAGGCAAGAACAAGATACCAGCGAAAATACTACCGATGATACTTCCTTCAACAAGCTGCCCTTTACCTTGATTCAAAGCGATGCAATACAAAAATACCTCTACCAACGTAGAGAAGAAAGCATTGATCGCAGCGCCGAGTCCCATAGAGGATTGAGCAGAAATAGAAGCTACAGCTTGTCCTATGAAGTATGCAAGAGGGATAATGGAGAGTAGGGCCATAGTAAACAAGAATGCCGGGTGAGTGATTGTGATTTTCATATGAAGCATCTCCAGAAGAACCCAATAGTCAAAGATGACAAACAAAACGACAGCCATGAGATTTATCAAGAAAATGTTGGTCCCGTCTACTGTATATTTCCAGTACTTGCTGCCCACGGCGCGATATGTGCAGACGAGGATCGAAGAATTTGGAATAGATCCACGAGAATATGCTGAATCTGATTGGAAAGACAAAGCTAAAGGATGTCGACGTAGATGGTCAAACAGTAGCATTGTAACCTTACCCATGGGGATCCAAAAGACAAGGAACCAGCAAATACCAGAGGCGATAAAAAGTAGTGGCGTGATCAGTCCGTAAAAGAATAGAAAGAAGATAACTCGTCCAGTATTCCACTGACCCCTTCCAAAAAGTCTTCTTTTGTTGGGGCGTGCTGAATCTTCTCGATGAGTACCGCGTCTTAAACGACCGAGTAAACTATCCGTCTCGCTACCACCAAACGAGTCAATGCTTCTCCTTGATCGGCCTACGATTGATCGTGGATGATGAGGCCCAAAAAAAAGTCTCCCATCCTCAATATCTCCACTTTGCCATTGTTCGTATTCCGTGATGGTACGGCCCTCTCCTTCATCTTCGTGAGCATAAGCTTCGTCTTGCTCGAGTCGAACGAATTTTCCAAAAGGATAGAAAAGATAGCCAGCCAGATCTAAGAGTACGCGACCATATGCAATAGCACTCGGCGCTGCTCCGAAGATGAAACATACCAATGCTCCAGTCAATGCTGCAAGTGCCAGCCACCAACCAAAAACTAGTGTCCAGATAATGTTAAAGAATATCAGCCACTTGTTGACGCGACCACCAGGAGATGAATGAATATCGCCTTCTGCTGTCTTCTGAACTGAACGGTTCTTTTTATACAGTGCAGGCTTCCAGATTCTTATACCGAAAGGATGGGTTTGGTTTATTGCCTGTTGACGATCCTTGAGTGTGAAACTTTCCGCATCACTCAGGGAATCTTCGTCCTCCTCCTCCACCTCTGCGATACCATCTTCTTCCTGCAAAGTGTCTTCGCCCGATATAGTCATTTGATCGTCTTTTGTCCTCTCACCACTGGTGGAAGCCGCCGCTTCAGCTTCAGCCTCCGCTTCAGCTTCTTCTTCGTGGGAAGAATCTAGTCTTGGTAAAGTTGGTTGAGTTGGAGCAGGTCGTCTCCTCACGGTTCCAGGACCAAGTCTAGAAGGTCCAAACCCAGATGCAATACCCCCAATTCCAAGTCCCGCCTGTTGCTTGTTCATTTCTTCTTCCATCTCCGTCACATCATCATCTACCGAGAATTCTTGCCCTCTATGAGGCGCTTGTACGTTTGATGAAGCTCTACGCGGCATAGGAGGCTTCTTTGGTCGCTGACCTGCTCGACCGCGGTCGGAAGGTCCTAGCATGGGAGATCTGGCCGGCTGAAATGATCGTGAAGACTCTAAACTGACAGGCTGGGGTCGCTCGCCGGTCATGGACGATTCGCTATTTCTATGGCCGTCGACAAGTTGTGGAGCCTGAGGAGTTGATTGAATAGTCCCTATACTTGGCATTAGTAAATCTATAATCTGGTAAACCTGTAATAAACAATAGCAAAGGGTGGAAATTGAATGTGCGGGCAATTTTCAGAGTGGCGTACCATATCCTCCTGCACTATCTGGTCTCCGTCGTATTGTGTCCGTAGACTGAAAACTTTCGGCCAGCCCATCATTTTGTTGCGAGATAGATCTTGATAATGGATGCCGCGTATCTGTGGGACTTGTTGGTGTTGACATGCCGGAAGGAGTTGGAGTTGTATCTTGAGTATCTTTCCCAGGTCCTGAAGATTCGCCGGGCGTTCGAGAAATTTTGTAACTCGAACCTTGTACACCGACTTAAATTTTATCTGCCAACCAGTCAAAGAGTATGATGCGATCAGTCGCACATCGGGTATGGAAACAAGCTTAAGGCTTGGATTAAGTTGAGTCCTTTGGTTAGTATAATTGTTAGTTCCCGCGTTTGTGGAAGCTTGAACATGCGACGAATTCGAGAGGAGTAAGCAGATGATGATGATAATGCATTCAATATGAGAAAAAGTCTTGCGTGAATTATCGAAATATGTTATTATGTTTACGGATGTATGTGATGGTAGTAAGTAGGTGAGGTATCTTCAACTATTAAGAGATTTCGACGAGAGAGGAAAGGGAAAGGGAAAGAAGGTGGGAAGTTGGGAAGACGAGAAGAAGAGAAGAAGCGATGATGAGAAATTGAGAGATTAAGAGAATCCCAATGGAATATAATTGTTATGTTATTTTTCTCCAGGTTGCGGCGCTTGGGTTGCGAACTTGTGGTTAGATACCGTAGCAACAATTTATTTGAATCATCCTTTGAGAGAAAAAAGATCAGGCGGATATGGAAAATAAAGTTTGTTTCTTGGGTTTCTTATCGAATGGAATGCTACTACATTACATTACATCGTACTTTCGAATTTTTGGCTGAATTGTGTGTGGAACTACAATCAACGTATGTATCTCTTGAGTCTTGATCATGTATGTAGTATGTACGAGTAGAGACAAGGAAAGACAAGACGGAAAGGACGCTTTCATGTGCAATGATGATAGAAGTTGAGTACGTACCAACCTAGTCAGCTTGTCTTTCATTGGCGTGTGCTGCGTTGTACATTCAATCATTCCCCTCCGCCCACTCAAAAAAACGGTTGATATTTTAATCCTCAATAAACTTTAATTTGTATTATCATATCATGATATGATTATGATATAATAGAGACATATATAGTTAACTTATAGCATTTGTATTTGGATGTATATTCTATCCACCCATCGACAGCACCTAACAAATACCTAGGGATGTACCTGTCGATACCTCTTCATCATTCCCGTCACTCCAGACTATATGGATATGGATCCTTATGAAATCTGGAGTCTGGAGTGTATACTCTGTAGTGCTAGGCAAGATTTAAGAGTTGATAATCTCCGTCTCCCGTCTTTGTGATTTGCATGATGAATGAATGATTGGCTTCCTTGTATCAAAAGGTTCTATTGTGAGAGGAATCCATCGTAAACGGTATAATTGATAATCCCACTTCTGGATGGAAATATCCGCCGGTGATACTTTGTGGATAGCTTCCAGGTTCCTTAGCTTGACTCGAGCTTTTCCTACTAAGAGAATGAGAAGTTATGAAGTGATAAAGTGATGAACTGGTAAACTGGTGAATTGTGAACTGAGGAAGGAATCCGACGCGTCTACGCTTGTTACCTAGAAAAATAAAGTGTAAGCCTTATTATTACCTACTTGACCCGTCCGAGATTCTTAGCGTCCTAGCCTCGTGTGTGCACTGTGCACTGTAAGGTTACCAGCAAGACGAGACGTACACTTGTGATACCTTAGGATAAATCAACAAATTATCAGCCTTGAAGAAACAACAACATTACAAAACTCCAAGCCACCGATAATTTCATCACCATTTGAGATCTTGTTTCCTCTTTTCAACTCCCCCCCCCCCAAACTCATCCATCATGGCGTTGGATAGCTTCTTTCATAATAAGATTGAGAGCATGAAGCTCGAAATCATTCAAGGTCAAGCGGTTCTACGAAGATTAGAAGCTCAACGAAATGACTACAACTCAAGAGGTACCTTTGCAGATGCTGTCGCATAAGAAAGAGTAGCAGCTAACCATGTTAGTGCGACTTTTACGAGAGGAGCTCGGGTTATTGCAACAACCTGGATCCTATGTTGGTGAGGTGGTAAAGGTTATGGGCACAAAGAAGGTGTTGGTCAAGGTGCACCCAGAAGGCAAATATGGTATGGAATCTATCCCAGACGCATAAATATTCACAGTACTGATTTTGATTGAAGTCGTCGATATTGCGGATAGTGTCGATATTTCAAAACTTACCGTTGGAAAGAGGGTTACCCTTCTATCGGATTCCTATAAACTCGAAAAGATGCTCCCATCATCCGTCGATCCTCTTGTATCTCTCATGATGGTCGAAAAGGTTCCAGATAGTACATACGACATGATTGGTGGTTTAGATCAACAAGTAAAGGAAATCAAGGAGGTTATTGAGCTTGGTCTTAAGCACCCGGAACTTTTCGAATCTCTCGGTATAGCACAACCTAAAGGTGTTCTTCTTTACGGACCCCCGGGAACAGGAAAGACTCTGTTGGCAAGAGCTGTCGCACATCACACCGACTGTAGATTCATTCGAGTTTCTGGTTCTGAATTGGTTCAAAAATATATTGGTGAGGGTTCAAGAATGGTCAGAGAGCTATTCGTCATGGCAAGAGAACACGCTCCATCCATCATCTTCATGGACGAGATCGATTCTATTGGGTCTTCACGTGTGGAAGGGTCTTCAGGTGGTGATTCTGAAGTTCAAAGAACTATGTTGGAACTACTGAATCAATTGGATGGTTTCGAGCCAACCAAGGGAATCAAGGTCATCATGGCTACCAATCGTCTAGATATTTTGGATCCGGCACTTTTACGACCAGGTCGTATCGACAGAAAGATCGAATTTCCACCCCCAACTGTCGAGGCCAGAGCCGATATTTTACGAATTCACAGCCGCAGCATGAACTTAACTCGTGGTATCAACTTGACAAAGATAGCGGAGAAGATGAACGGATGTTCAGGAGCTGAGTTGAAGGGTGTTTGCACGGAAGCTGGAATGTACGCCTTGAGAGAACGCAGAGTTCATGTCACTCAAGAGGATTTCGATTTGGCGACGGCCAAGGTATTGAACAAGCATGACGACAAGGAAGTCAGTTTGGGCAAGTTATGGAAGTAGACGGTTGGGTAATGGTCGGAATGGCATTTGTACAGTACAACAGCATGAAGAGCAAAGAGATATCAATTTAAACATATTTGGTGTTTTAGTGTACCTCTCTCAAGCCTCTCAAGTCAATTTGAAGCCTCACGATTTCGGAGTTCCCCTTTTTAGTAGTCCGATCCGAGTTGCAGGAAGCCGGTGAAGTTGCCGAATTTTGAACTTTGTGCTTCCGCTTGAGCGATCCTCACCTTGTTTTCAGAAGGACAAGCCCAGATCTGCGTTCTACAATACCCTATTGCCATGGTTTTTTTTTTGCCACCAGAAATGTGAAGGATTTGAAAATGCTGCACGAAGGGTGCAAAGAGGTGGGTCTAAGTGACAATCGACTGACAGACTGACCTTTTTATTGGCCGTTGAGACCATATAGTAATGCCAATATCGTAGACTAACTACCCCGATACCCTGAGAGCTACTCGTACTTCGGTACTCGTACTTCATGACCAGATATCAATATTGTAGAATTGATATTGTTGTTCTGGATTTATTCAAGATCACACAGCTCCAGATTCCAGAAACCTAAATCTTGTCATATTGAATTACTCGAATATACTCGAGTATTATATACTAATAGTTCTAGCTTGGAGTCTAGAATAATGGTTGGAGAATGCTACGGCCACGATAAGGTTTGGGCCCCAGTGATGAGATTCATGAGAATTGCAAAGTTTCCCCCTTTGGGAAAACGGTGAGCCATTCCATACTCTATTTGGTGGATTTATGCTTTTCAGTGGGGGGAAGGAAGGTAAAAAAGAAAGTGGGGTCCTATGACGATAAAAAAGCTGGAGCTTCCAACTAGGAGATCAAGCTTCGGAGAGGTCTACATCGTGAGCTACAGTGCTAGGGACTTTCAATATAGATTAGAAATTTCTTTCCTCTTCTCTTTCTTCCTTCATACCACCATACTATTCACATCTCGACTATCTATCTCACCGCGACGATACATATCAATATATTTCTGAATATAGAGAATTGGATTTACGTTAACGCTCCCACATTATATCACGTATGTCCCTATTCCCCCTCTTTACCCCGCCGTGCCCAGCTCTCACATTCTTGAGACTATTGGCACACTCAACATTCTATTCCATATCCAATGGACACAGCTACTACCAAGGGTATCAGACTTTGTAACACGTACTAATGGGGATTGTAGAGACAAATAGACAAAAGCATTTAATACGAATACCGGCATCATGAATCACTCACTGCCTTTCCGTCAAAACTACAGGAAGTAAGTGGATTTATATCTCTCCCCCCCCCCAACAGTTCTTACGCCAATACTGCTTGTAATCGCGCATTATTAGATCTTTGTACTGATTATATATCCTTTAGACCATCGCGTCAAGCGAGTATGGAGTGAGTATTTTTCGTTATATCAAGAAATTCAATTCATTACCTGGCATGTTCAAATGGTTGTGCCGAGCTCGGGTATTGGATGCGGGTGGATGCCCAACGCATCTCTTGATCAAGACCCAAACACAACTCGAAAATTTCAGATTGAGTCCCGAGAATTGGATATGGAAATATAAATTCATAGGGTGCCTTACTTGATTCGAACGATTAACAAGTTTGGGGTCGAATGGATACCAATTGTTGCTTCAACGGCAAGAATGAATGGCATCTAATACTGACATTTCTATAGTCCACATAACGATTTGAACCCTCACGTAGACCATTTCAGTAAGTTTTCCTCGAATTTCCTAACGAACCCGTACTCTAGAATCATTCGAAAGACGTTTCTGCCACTTTTAAAACTCATATCATTTCCACTCGTCGACGTTAGCTAATTCTTGTGATAAACAGTCGGTATCGATGTTGGAACTGGATCAGCCAGAGCGTGTATCATCGATGCTTCAGGAGATATCAAGGCTTGTAAGTTTTACACACCGAGAATATGTTATAGAAGCCCTAACGTTCAATAGTGGCTACAGAAAACATTGGTTTATGGCAACCGGAAGTTGGATACTATGAACAATCCACAACAGACATCTGGAGATGTATTTGCATGTGTGTGCAAAGAGCTCTCAGCCAACACAACATCGATCCAACAACAATCCGTGGTATCGGTTTCGATGCCACCTGCTCCTTGGCAGTATTCTCAGAGGATACCGATGAACCAGTACCTGTCACCGGCCCAAACTTCGCAAACGATGGCAATGACCGCAACGTTATTCTATGGCTTGATCACAGACCAGTCGAAGAGGCGAAGAAAATCAACGATACCGAACACAATCTACTACGATATCTTGGAGGAAAGATGAGCATCGAGATGGAAATTCCCAAGGTTCTATGGCTTAAGAACAACATGCCACCTGAGCTCTTTGACCGCTGCAAGTTTTATGATTTGGCCGATGCTTTGACGCACATTGCAACTGGCAATGAAAGCAGATCCTATTGCAGTACTGTCTGCAAGCAAGGTTTTGTCCCAGTTGGTGTTGATGGAAGTGTAAAGGGTTGGCAAGAGGACTTCTACGAAGCTATTGGTTTGGGTGATCTAACCAAAGATAACTTCAAGCGAATGGGAGGAGTAGATGGAGTAGTAAGCCCGCTTCTAACTGCAACTTATGATTTTCAATCATCCGAATGAATGCTAACAGAATCGTACAGAACGGCAAGTATCTCAGCGCGGGTGAACTTGTTGGTACCCTCAGCGAAAAGGCTGGTAACGAACTTGGTCTCCCAGCTGGAATTGCTATCGGAAGTGGTGTTATTGATGCTTATGCTGGATGGATTGGTACTGTTGGTGCAAAGGTCAACTTGGGACAAGATTATCTCGATACCGGAGCACCCAAGAATGACATCTCCCAAGCCTTCAGCCGTCTTGCAGCTGTAGCTGGAACCTCTACCTGTCATTTGGCTATGTCTCGCGAACCTGTCTTCGTAGATGGAGTCTGGGGTCCTTACAGAGACGTTCTGCTTCCTGGCTACTGGATGGCAGAAGGTGGTCAGTCTGCGACTGGTGAACTTCTTAAGCACGTCTTGGAGACTCATCCAGCATATAATGAAGCCATGTCTATGGCAGAATCATTCAACACCAGTATTTACGATTACCTAAACTCCCATCTCGAGGAACTGAAGGAGAAGGAAAATGCTCCAACCATCTCATACCTTGGACGTCACTTCTTCTTCTACGGTGATCTCTGGGGTAACCGTTCACCAATTGCCAACCCAAAGATGACTGGCTCAGTCATTGGCCTTACCAACGACCGCAGCATGGACGGTCTAGCCATTTATTACTATGCAACCATGGAATTTATTGCAATGCAGACCCGTCAAATCATCGAAACCATGAACAGTGCCGGTCACTCCATCACATCCATCTTCATGTCGGGTTCCCAATGTCAGAATAAGATTCTCATGGAACTTATGGCTACCACATGCGCTATGCCAGTTCTGATCCCAAGATATGTGCACGCAGCTGTTGTTCACGGTGCTGCCATGTTAGGTGCTAAAGCTGCCAGTGCAGACAAGGAGGGCAAGACAGAAGAGTTGTGGAGCATCATGGATAGAATGAGCAAGCCGGGCAAAGTAACCAGACCTGGAAAGAACGCCAATGAGAAGAAGTTACTGGATGTTAAGTACAAGGTATTCCTTGAGCAGTGCCACACTCAACAGGTATACAGAGACCAAGTTGATGAAGCAATTGAGGGCTGGAACTACGAGTAAATGACCTTGATGGGAAAAGCCAAAACCTTTGATTATGAATGAACGAAACTTTGGGACGGATGGTTAGGATTGCTGAGGGTAGATAGTTGGGTAATGGGTTAGCGTATTTTTTGCATTGGATCTGCAGAAATACATTACGATATTAGAATAGATAGTCTTCCTTTCAAATTTTGCTCCCCCTAAATTGAGTATGTGAAGAAGAAATGTGAGAGATGTCGAAATCAGCGTTCATCTCATTACAACTTATCCGAAGCCCAAACAAATTGTACGCTACGCTATCAGGTAAATCATCTCGATATTATGAATGAATAGACATCACTCAGCAAGTCCAATTCTTCGCGTACAGAACCTAAGTCGACATTCACTCACTCTGTTACTTTCATATTAGATAATGTAACGATAACCAAGTTCGTCCCTCGTCTTCCTTTCCCACAATCATCTGATCTGATTCCTCTTACACAATATCGAAATGTTGAATGAACCATATAGGTAGGTAGTCATCAACATCAATTCATCCATCCACAAGAGATCTACCTCTCTCATCTCATCTCATCTCATTTCACTCTATTTCACTTTATTTTATTTACTTAAGCATCTGTTTTTCTGTGAGTAGGTAGGTAGGTATTTCTACGTTCATACTAGGTATATATACTGCATGGCATCTGCATCTGCACACACGTTCACTTGTTCCTTGTTCCTCACTTCTAGGATCTGATCTGATCTCGCTACCTGGCCGCTATGGGGAGGGAAACATTCGAAAACGATTCATTCATCGCATATATCATATCACATCATGTCATACATATCATATCATACCTAGAACAACCCTCAAAGCCATTGACATTCGATCAATTATTCCTTCATTTATTCACTCATTCAATGTCAACCTCTTCGATTACTTGATTACTCGACTGATACTAATTATTCCTACTCGTATATATACTAGGTACCCACATCTCATAATTATCGTCTAGAATCTCGATACTTAAATTACCTCCCTCTCGTTTCCCTTTTCTGTGTCTATCTCCTTGCCATCTGAATCTCTACCCTTTTCAACGACAAAAAACAAGGTGGAATAACATCCACTATTATACCAATATATATATTTACCAATGTATTTTTGTCCGCCCATTTCTTCATTTTCTCGTTTTCTCGCCTGTAAGGTATTCGCATGCGCGTGTACATGTCCAAACATGTATATTTCAATTCAAATCCAAATCCAAATCCCATTCCCACTCCCGTTTCCAACATACCACCCGCACCCCAACTCTTGAAACTTCTTGAGAAACGTACTGACATATACAAAAGTCTAGTACGCCGTTGATTTCATGGCACCCCTTCCCCTTCCCTTTCCTCATATTTGCCGCCCAAGCTAAAAAAATATATACAATAGGCCAATCTGATACCCATCCATCTGATGCACCCTTACTCCAACTCCGAAAATATATTTATACAAAAATCCCCCCTCCACCTCAAATCCTTTCCATTAACCACTACCTTCGATCCCCGTCCATCTTGACGCGATACGTATCCCTCAATCCGGGGAACGCACTTGCAAATTGAGGTCCCAAACTCCAATTTTCCAGGCGTCTCAAATGTCTTTCAAAAACCGGATTAATCAGCAGCTCACCCTCCTCACTAAACCCCAGTCCCGATCCCCCAGTCCCACCCCCAGAATTTAAAAGTGCATCTGTAGGTTCATATGGCCAATTGACACTCAATGTACCTGTAAAGGGTATAAAAAAGTTATCAAATAGATAATCCCGCGGATTGTAATCTCTCACAAGAATATCCCGCATCTTAGGCCAAGGGAGATGATCGATCCATGCCGGATGCGGAGTGAAGAGCTGGGAAGGACGTGGGGTTATCCAGGAGGGAAGACGATCATAGTTTGCTTGGCTAGGATGAATTTGCCAGCGCATCAAGAGAAACATTATATAGAGCACTGCGACTCGTTCGGGAAGAGTAGAAAGGTCGGGAAATGTGGCAAGGATATCGGTGAAGACTTTTGAGACGGGGTGGGAAGTAATGCCACGTGAAGGATTTAAGAGGCTGGAAACGGATGGATAGGCTGGTCCTACGAGTTTGGGAGTAGGTAGACCTTCGAGAGCAGCGGCCTGGCGCTCTTGAAGGAAATCCAGAAGGAGACTATCTAGAGGGCATGTAGGAGGCCCGTTTCGGATAGGAGCACTAAATCCGTTCACTTCCGAGCCTGAACCCGAGGCCGAAGAATTATTTGGTGTATTGTAATTCGTTGTACTACTAGCTGTTGAATTGTTGCGCTGGTGTATGGGACTCATAGTGTCAGCCGGTCTTTGCATTTGTTGAAATCCAGTAGTTTCTAGTGGACCAGGAGGAGGGATGGGTATCTTCCCACGCTGTCCTTCGTCAAGAAGAAAATCTAGACCGAGTCTTTCCGGGCCCAATTCAAGATTATGTGCCATTTCATGTCTTTGTTGTGCTAATTGCTGAGTTTGCTGAGTTTGGATAAACGGTCTGGAATCCTGGGTAGGAGCAACTGGCATTGATGCAGAAGAAACTGGCCATGAGGGTCCGGCAACGGCGTTGGGAGAGGCTATACTATTAGGCGTCGTTGCATTGCGATTCGCGGAATTTGGTCGATTAGGCGGAGGATAATTTGGCTGCGGTGGTAATTGAGGGATTTCGAATCCTGTATCGCAAAGTTAGCTATTGGTCTAGCTGTTTCTGCGAATTTTTTGAGCCACAAACCCAATTACTGACCATGAGCACCAAGTATTGGTGTGATAAGTGCAATGACCTGCGATAGCCTCTTCTTGATATCTAAGTTCTCTTGCTCTACCATTTCCTTCTGCCGTATTACTTGCTGTAACTCCTGATAGGGCTGTTGACTAGTCAATTCCCTAATTCTCCTTTCGTAACCCTCCATCTGATTCTTCGTCCTCTGTCTTATACTCCTCTGTGCCTCTCTATCATTCGCCCTTTTCTTTGCCAACTGTTCGGGTGTTAAATTTGCAACGCCTCTTGCACTCGACCTCCTCTCTTCCGTTGGCGGAATCTTTCTCTTCTTCGACGATTCTCCTCCACTAGTTCCACCTCCACCCACACTGCCCTCTCCTTGCTCAACCGGAGTACCTCCCTCCCCACCATCACCCGTCGCATTTGCATTTTCGCCCTCCTCCCGATCACCCGGTGTAGAGTGCGCGATGCTCACATGTCGCTGTTCGGACAATGGAGATGTAGATCCCTGCTGAGTTGCATTTACATCAGGTGTCATACTGTATCTGCGAGAACCACGGGTTCTCGCATGCGATGCGGCCTTCCGTGGGACTTCCTAATCTTAATGCTCTAATTTTCGAGAACAGACACAGCACAGTTCGTCTTGCTAGCAATAGATCAGAGACATCAAGTATTTAATTCGCGTTTGGTCAAGTAAATGGGGTCGAGGGATGGAGGGGTTCCTTATATATATATCGTCATGTACATTTGAATATCGGGGTTCGCTCGAGTCATGTACTCCGTAAATTGAGGAGAATAAACAAATATATGAAAGCTCGGGGAAAACAATGGAGAAAATCTGGGAAAATACCGGGAACGTTGATGTCAAAAAAGATCATTGTGGAAAGAGCTTACTAGGTATATTAATTGAATGCCAATCATTGCGGAAGTGATCCGCAATCTAACCTTTATCTCTATTTGACAAATCTTTACATGTCATGGTCTTTTGAGTGTTTACAGAATAGCTAGTTGTGCTAACTAGGTAGGTATGCCATTCTAGAACCCGTATGCAATGATCTGCTATTAAAGATTCGCTTGTATCTACCACAAGGGGTTTATTGATATCAACGGTCATATTAACCTGCCACGAGCTTGCTATCAATGCTCACAAACCATATAAAAATTGTAATAATCCCCTGTGAGAGTCATGGTGTCACAAAGCAATCAGGGGACGGACAATTCCCAGATCACTTGTTAGTGAAGATTCTGAAGAAATATTTGCAATAATACGGGTAGATGCCCCGATTAGCATTCATTCCCGCAAAGGTGTACCAATCAAAACATCACTTTGGTCATTTGACTGGAAGCGAAATATGAATTCTCTACAGATATTCGTTAACTACTCATAATTAATCTTCTAACAAACGACATAGTTTATTCTTCATCCATGCATTTGTTCATGAGAAACTGTAAAAATCAACTACAAAAGTAGTAGACGGACCCCTAATGTTTTCATTTCGTTCCATCCAAATCAAAACTCAAAATGCTCTTTTAATCTCTTCCCACTGTGCTATTCTAATATACATTCAAGCTCATAAGCTCATGTCATATGTTCATTCCCTTACTCCGATTGAGCCCTCGCAAGAGCTTCATGAAGAGACGCAGGGAATCTGTATCTCAATTGACTGGTATAAGTCGTTAAGTCCATATTTTGTTGTCTCAATTGATTGATCATCAATCGTCTGGTACCCTCATTACCTCCATATTGGGCATTCATGAGAGAAGTTCTTTGGTTGTTGCAACACAGAACTGTCCATGTCAAAAGACTAGGGATAGTGTTTGCAACCTCTTGGGAGAGCGATGAAAATTTGGTGGCATAACTTCGTACTGCACTTGGATTGCCCTCGGCGCTCAACGGGAGAATGTCAAGATTCTGGACAATCTATAGTAAAATAAAATTAGCTTACGATCTACAAAATGTCAAAGATCAAAACTTACGTCTAATGCTTCAGCCCATTGTCTGTTTTCAACAAATTCCTTGGCACGACAGATATTCAACAAAGCCTCGCAAGCTGCACGGTTCTCTTGCTTAATCTTGTTGAGATACATGCGATTATTTGAGTAGAGCTTCGTCATGATGGTAGCCAATTCGAAAGGATCATCAATTGACGTAAGACTGAGACTGGTATGGGCCTCTCTTCCGGATTTGTCTCCAGGCCTTGGCTTGAGTGGTTGTAATCGTAACGGGCTATGGCCTACGGGCACGGCAATAGCTTCGCTAAGGGCTCTGTTAAGGATACTGACGACGGTGTCATATTCTTCTGCTAAATGATAAAGTAGGACTGCATCAGTGGTTCGCCCATTGTCATCCGCGACACTTCCTGCTTGTATGGTAACTGTTCTCATGAAATCATCCGCGCTGCTGAGATTGATGAGTTCTAGGCGTTCTTCGATAACTCCCTTTAGACGCTTTCCATCTTGTCTGATATCTCCAAGCAACAAAGCAAATTCTCTGCTTTCCAAAATCAGCTCTTGAAGAGCTTCGTGGCATAATGCGACTTGTTTTGAACCAGCATCGCCTTTAAGGTCGCTGTTAAGACAGATCAATGTGAGATAGTCCACGGCAGCACTGACATTAGCAGCTCTGAATTCTGCAGTGTAAAATCCCATCATTAATCCAAATGCTATCTGAGGTTGTTGTCTTATTGTGTAACTTAAAAATCCACCCTCTGCAACATCTGGATCTGAGACTCGAAGCAGGCCATAAAAGTCAAGTGCCGTGGCGAAATGAACACAATCAGAAATACTATGGCGATAAAGAAGGTCGATTGCGTCTTCGAATAGGCCTGAAAGTATCAACAGCACAAAGTACACACTAAATGGTCCACTATTTTCATTTCCCTTGGAAAACATCCGGGCACCGATGTCTTTGAATGTCTTTTGTACATTGGCGAGTCCATATGCATCGCTGGCAATTTCATCGACTCGGTTGGCTTCACGCGCAAGGACAAATTGTATCCAGACAAAGTCATCTTGGTTCTGGACAATATTTTGATCCAGAGCGCGAACGTGGAGTTCGCAGCGACCAATTATCTTGTAGCATGCCATTCTGAAGGGGTCAATAGAACCCTCAGGGGAGATTCGATTTCGCTGGCTGTATTCGCTTTGAATACGATTTTGAAGGTCATGACTTAATTTTCTGTCGGGACTATTGGCATATTCTGCGATATAAAACATGAAGCTTCGGTCAATTACCCTGAATGCTTCCCTATTCCCTTGGACATACGTATTGGCTTCCTCAACGTGGCCGGATCTTAGAAGATAAAAGACGACTGCCCAGACGTAATCATCATTAACAATTTGTAGAGCGGAGATGTCGGTAGCAAGATCTTTACGGGCTGAGCGCAGGCGAACATAACCCTGTATTTTTGTGAGAGGACTAGGCTTACCACCCACAAGTGCTTCCCTGGGGTTTTTGGCAACAATAGTTTCTACGTTTTCGAAGAACTCCTTTTCGAGATATCGAAGTGATCCACTGAGTATCCGCTTTTTCAAATCGGCCGCTTGAGCTGAGTTTGTATTGTCATCCAGGTATGCAGCTGCAAACTGTCTATGTTTGACCGCGCCAGGGAGTTGTAGTCTGTCCGGGTCAGGATCTTCGTTAACGATTTCCATCAAGCATCTGTAAGCCCTGTAAACATCTGCAGAATGCTGTTCACCACCTTGGGCCACAACAGTTGAGAATTCGTTCGCAATTGGGTAGTGAAGGTTCTTTAATCTAGCACCATTGAGGTTCTGGACTTTCTCGATATATCGAGCCTGCTTCTCGCGAATGAATCGGTCACTTGGAACTGCTGCCGACCCATTCGTATCTGCTTTCTCGATATCGGTAAATAGTGTGCGGTTTGCGGTTCCGCCTGGAGTAATAGCTCCTATAACAGATCTCTGCATGCTTGATTTTCCAAAAACGCTAGCCCGCGGAATTCCAGGTCCTTTAGACGCTCCAGGAGCAAGTCCTTTGCCGCGTCTTGATCGACCAAAACCGCCCATAGTTTCTGTAGCCGTGGCTGCAAAGCTTACTGATGGCCCTGTTGTCTGTTCCCTTCTGGGCTTAATTCCAAAATGTTCGTATATTCTTTTGCGTTGTGCACTCCACTCCATGGCAACATTCTCCTCCAGGAAATCATCAAAATCTCGAACAGATCGTGCCAACCCTTCAGATATCATGCTCATTGTGGTTTGCGTTTCCAGACGTGTAAGATATGCTTCGACATCTGCATCAACGGGTGCTTCTACAGGCGCTGTCCTATCGAGTCTTCCTGTGGCAGCGGTGAATAAATTCAAATCTCTGAGCGCAGCGCCTGGATCCACCCCAGAAGCTGCTAATAGATAGTGAGCTCTTCCATCGACGGAGCCATCTTGAGTACTAGGTGCCAGCCTCTTCATGCGCTGGCGAATATCCCCCAAGCCTAATTGTAAACCCAAAGAATCCTCATCGTGTGCCCTCTTACGACTCTTCTCCAATATAGCATCAAAGTAGGCACCGCTCGTTCCATTTTGTTGTCGAGATTGAGAGAGAGGTTGGGTTTGTGGAGTAGGTCCGAACATTGATCCTGAAGGGTTGGGTTGTGTGGTAGTATTTCCGAAAAGTCCACCAGCATTTTGTTGCGGCTGCTGTTGTGGTTGTGCCAAAGAATTTCCAAAGAGACCTCCGGTTGTGCTGCTTGTAGTTTGTGGTTGTGTAGTCGCACCGAAGAGACCGCCAGTTTGTTGTGGTTGTGTTGCTGCTGGAGTTGCACCAAGCCCTCCAAATAAACCACCGGATCCTGTCCCTGATTGTTGTTGAGGCTTGGCTGCACCAAAAAGACCGCCAGTTGTTTGAGGTTGACTTGTTGCTGTTCCAAAAAGGCCTCCAGTTGATTGTGGTTGACTTGTAGCTCCCATTCCACCGAACATTCCTCCCGATGATGGCGCCTGACTAGTCGCAGTCGTTCCCAATCCACCGAAAAGACCTCCCGTACTCGCACCTGTAGCCGCTCCTGTTGTCTGCGGTGCACCAAAGAGTGATGGCTTGTTTTGATTTGTATTCCCGAAGAGCGACATATTGACGGAATCCAATCCGTTACAAAGTTCTAATTGAGATGAAATTAAAGGGAAAAGAAAGAACTCTTGATGAGCGATAACAAATCAAGAAAGAGCGCAATTTAATGCTCTTTGAAAGGGAAAAAGTTAAAGCTTAGAATAAGCTTATAACTTTTTGTTAAAGACGCGACTTTTTTTGAAGCTGTTGATAGAAATTAAGTTTTGCGCTAATGTTTACAGGCTCCAGCTTCCTACTTACCCTGAAATCTTTGATTGGTTGTCGTCAAGGAAATAGAACTACCTACCTATCAATATCAACATTCACAACTCGCAGTCTTTGAAACATGCCAATTGTACCAACGATGATGTTTGCAGATGATGCTTCTCAATCGAAACATTCTAGGGTGTTTAAATTCATGCCATTAGAAAGTTTAGAGGATCTTAATGAGTAATTGAATCTTTTTTTATTTTTGATTT